GACCTCTAGCTGCAAGGAACCAGTAGTGAGGGAGCAACAGGGTTGCTGAAAAAGCATTTAGGAACCCTGTGGAAGAACTGCAGCTGAGGTTTGGTAGCTGTTCCTGTTCCAGAGGCCTTGTGACTTGGCTTGTAGCTTAACTCTGCTGCAGAAGGTGCTTTTCTAGGTGAAATTTCTGATACTGAATATCTGCTTAGACTGTGACTTTTTATTTTCTTCACTTACATTTTTAAGAGACAGAGCCAAAGCAGATGATGTTCTATTACTAGCAGAGGTAATGTGTGTTGTACTTTTAAATATTTATAAACCTCTTCTACACATCTGCTGTTCAATTTTCCATCTCAAGCTTTTACTTAAATTTGATAGGAATGCTCTTCCTGTCAAGACACTTTAAAAAGTTAGTAAAAAGTGGACTTGATTGACAGTCGTAAGATACAGAAAAGCTGTCAGTTGTGTGAATTTATATGTGTTGGAGGCTTTAGAGTGGTCTTCTCCGAGCATGTATGTGCATGCAGTACAGATTTTTGGTCTGGTTGTCCTTGTGGAGTTGGATGTGCTAACTAGGCCAGACTGGTAAAAGAGAATGGTAACTGGGAAGTATGTAATTAAGTTTGCAGACTTGTCTCATTAACTTTTCTGTCTCAGTCTGAAGAGCTGTTTCTTGGTGTGAATTTGCATAAAACATTTCCTGGCTGAGAAGTGTCTGAAAAGGCCCTCAGTCTGCTGGTTACAGCATTACCCGGTGACTGGAGCTCAAGCCACCAGTCTTCTGTAGCACTTTCTGTAACATGTGTAGCTTTTCTGTTTCTCAGGGTGGTTTTTTTTTTCCCTCAGTGGGAGATCACTTGTCCTACCTTGCAGGAATCTTGCATTTTCTAAACACGATATGAGTTCCTCAGATGATATGGTGATGATGATGATGAACTTCACCAGGTTCCTGTTGAACATAGTTCCCATAGAAAGAATAATAGTGGCTGTAGAGAAATACAAATTACGTTACATAAGGGGAAAGAGGAGGCTTTTCTGGGATTTTCAGGGTTGTCTCTGTCAACATAGCAGTACAGCATTTATATGGCAGGTGAGCAGTGGAGTGGATTGCCACCAGGCAAGGCCCACCTCCCTCCATTAGCTTGAGTTTCTGGGTGTTGGAAGTGAAATCTGTTCCACCCTTGGTCCTCACCTTTGCAGAAACCTGAGTTTTATGGTCTGGCTTTGAAGACGGAGTGCCTCTGATGCAGCATCATCATTATTATTTATTATTATTGTTATTATTATTTATTTGCACCTAAAGCCTCAGTTGTGGTTGGCTTTCTGCTGAGCTTGGATCTCTATTCAGCTGCAGAGTTTCTAAACAGAATGAAAGTGGTGTGGTGAGGTTGACAAACAGGAGGAAAGGAGCTGGGAGAAGTTTGATGCAGAGAACACGTCACTAAGTAGGTCACTTTGGTGTGCAACTCAGTGGTCTGGAATCGCATGAAAGTTGCTTATACTTTTGTAATAACCAAAATAATTATAGTTTTTTTCCAACTGCTGCTCGTCCTGGCCTCAACTGCTTTACCAAGTGCTTGTTGGTGCTCCAGGTGAGGTGGAGCTTGAGGAGGAAGGTGCAGGAGAGAGATGTGATGTGTCTGGTCAGGATGCAGGTCTTGCCTTTGAAAGGGGAGTGGTGCTCCTTGAGTTGAGTGTATTTGGAAGATGGAGGCTTAGTGAAGGGTATTGTGGAGCATAGAAATATGTTTAAAATGAAGGGAAGATTCACTAGGACTGTTTTGAGAATTATTACTGTGTTATCTACATAGTATTTGAAATGTTGATATACTGGGAGCACCCCTGCTATTTCTGAAGTACTAGAACTTTATTAAATGCTAATTCCGAAAAAGAGGGGAAGGCAGTATAAAAGGTTTGCCATAGCTTTTAACTGAAGAATAAAAGTTTTCAAAAGACTTCTAATGGGTCAGATTTTACACAAGTCTCATGACTGTGTTTAAGCATGCACCTTATGACAAGCTGCTTCTGTTCTCAGCACGTTCTTGGAGAAACCCCCCTTTTGCAGATGGGAAACAGGGTCATCTTCACAAGCCCTTTGCAGCTTCTCTGTCAGAACAGAGACTTGAACCCAGGCTTCTCAAGGACTGGGTTGGTGCCATGGTATCAATCAGGGGGATGCTCCCTCTCCTCAGTGAAAACAAAGCAACTTATTTAATCCTTAAAAAACCTCTTAAGTCACTTTGCAGAGTGTTTGGTGAGTTAAGTAATGTGTAACCTGTTATGTGCAGTGTAATCATAAGTTTGACCTCTGCTTTAAAAAACTGAAGTGTGTTGATAGTGATGTATTTTATATTGCCAGGCAAAATATGTTAGCAGCCTGCTCATCTCAGGTTCTTAAATTTTGGGGTTTTTTTTCTTCCTCCTACTGTTCTGGGAAAGACTGAAACATAGTTGTTCAAGAATTAAACTTCAAGGTATTTTTCTTGGAGTGCTTGATTTGGCAGACACCTGCAGACATCTGCTAAATGAAATGCTGCTTACAGGCTGCTAATTTAAATGATGCTTACAAACTTTTTTTGCTTGCTGTCATTTAGATGTAAGATGTCTTTCTAATTTGCTAGTGTAGTTGTAGCTGAAATAAAAAGCTCTGCTAGCGCATTGAGAAGAGGTGGCAATAAATTCCATCCTACAAGTGACGTTACTTGGCTGACAGGGAAAATTTGCTTGTGAATGTCAGGACCCTCAGCAGGAAAAAGCTGTATTGCAGAGAAAAAGTGAAAAGACTACTAGCAGAGAGCTGCCCTTTGATCTTACTTCATCCAAATAAGACTTGAGAAATTAAGACATCTGACTTAGGATTTAAGGAGACTGTCAGAGTCTGAAGAGTTTGATGGTTGCCACTTAGACCTGTACTGATTGTTTCTGGCTCTGAAGCTGGTTTTTAATCTTAGGGGAAAATTCAGGGAACGGTAACTGATTAATAAAATTGCTTTCGTACAGTGAACTCATGCAAATAGAAACCTCAGCTAAAGACAGAAAGAGTGCAGAAGTGAGTGCAACCAGCATCTCATGTTTATAATAGCCTTTATTTATGTGGGGAAAATGTAGCCAAGTTAAAAACTGCATTTGGCAGGAAGTTTTGGGGGCTTCATCTACTCTTGAGGCCTAAACCAGCTGAAGATGCCCCTCTGCTCTGTGTGGCCTGAACTGGCTCAGTATATGGTTATTTATTCATCAAGATCCGCTTGAGAACCTGGATGGAGTTGATATCATCACAAAATGGATGGTTAGAGCTAAGGAATGGAGGCAATGGATATATTCTCAAAGACGATTGGGAAAGAGGGAACAGATAAGGAGCCCAAACCATTAGTTTATATATAGCCTAGTGTTTAGCACTCAGCTCCATCCTTTGCATTAATCCCAGGTCTGCCTCCATCTGTAAGAGTGCCATGTCATCAGCTGCCCTGCAGGAAGCTGGTCTGGGTGGCAGGGCTCCCATCTTTTCTGGGGAAGCCAAGCTGCTTGCTGGGGAACAATCCCCTCAGGAGAGCTGGTTTGCAACAAATGCTGCACACGTGACGGAGGGAGCCTCTGGAGCGATGGGGAGGTGGGCATGTGTGAATATGTGTGGTGAGGCCATGTCCTGCTTTGGTATGTGGCCCCGGACCCTGCTGTGCCTTCTCTGAGGGCTGCTCTGTTCTAAATGCAGAGACTGCCCTTGAATATACGGCTCCCACCCTTCCAAAGGGAACGGTGTAACAGGCAGGGCACAAATGCATCCAAGTCTTTTAGGCGTTTGCTTCTTGGCTGCACAAAGGGCCCAGAGTGCTGCAGGCCAGTCAGTAAGCTTCATCTAGCTGAGGGAGAGGACAAGGAGTGAACTGCCAGGGGGTATCCAACCTCCCCCTTACCTGTAAGGTAACATGTCCACAGAAATGTGTGCAAAGACGTGGCTGCTGCTGTTCTGATTGAGCAAAATCCCCTCCCTCCTTCCCTCCAAATGTGAATAGCTTTTTATCCTGTCTTGAAAAGAAAGCAGATGCAAATGTAGATCAGGTACTTTCAGCAGTTTGAGTGCTCTTTGAGGTTGGGAAAAAGAAATCTGATTAGGGTTACAGCTGTTTCATTTCCTGACAGATGCACAGAGTGTTGTGTGCTGGTGTACTGCGGATGTGCACACACACAGCAGCCTCGTTTTGTATCAGTGGCATAACCACACAGCAGCCGGCATGTTCTGAACTCCTTGTCCTGGACACCCTGCCAAAATATGCTTTAGGCAGAATTTTCTGTGAACCAGGCTGTAGTGTGTTTGTGTGTGTATGTGTGTGTGTATGCATGTGCATATAAATTTGTGTGTGTTTTCTTCACTTGACAGGGCCTTTGTTGTTGAACTTTTTGTTGCTGGAGTGGGGCAGTGCGCTGTAAACAAGCACAGCTAGTTATAAAGCACTTGTATAAAAAAATGATCAGCATTTGTACAAACAGTACTAGTAAAAGTGCCTGTGTAAGAGTACCACAAGTACCCAAATAAGCCCAGCTCTGAATGGAGAACTCTCTTCTGTCTTGCAACCACAGCTAAAAAGTTGTTTATAACTAAATGCTGAGGTGGTGTAATTTTCTCTTCTAGGAACTTGGAATAAGAATTCCTAGACCACTGGGACACGGACCAAGCAGATTCATCCCTGAGAAGGAGGTGTGGTAGTATTTTCAAGTACATAGTGAACTTTATGCTTTTAAGGAACGTCCTTTTAGTAGTAGCCCACATTTGCTTTCAGGACAGCTGCTGAGCTGCAAAACATTTTCAGTAGTGATCACATTCAGTCCTGGGAAGACTTTGGCTACAGTTCTAGAACAGTAAGAGCCTTGGGGAGCTTTGGAATAGTTATGACCCCTCCCATACTGCTATCTAGCATGAGAGAAACCCAATACTGTTTCCTTGTGAACATCCGGATGTAATTTCCTACTGGTCCACAAGGTACCTGCCCCCCTGCTCTGAGACTGCTTTTTCTTGAGCTGCTGCTACCATTCTGAAGAATCTGAGAAGCTTCAGAGTGTTGTGGCTGAGCATTTCTGGTGCTTCTCTCCTAATTGTCTGGTAAGAGAATTTGGAGCAGAGGAAAAGTTAGTATTATGCCTGTAGTTTTCTAGGAATTTTAGAATCTTAAGTTTCAATTTCCTTTTATTTCTCTCTCTTGTCATTTTAGCTAGCTTTTTACCTCTTTTCCTCTTTTATCCATAGTAAAAGTGATTATTCAATTAAATTTTAGTTATAATGAACTAAGTTAGATCAAGCTTGGGTGTTCAGGAAAGTGAAGGTGAGACAGTTAAAAATGAGAAATCAGCGTTGTACTAGAGAAAGGCAAAAGCCAAAAATCTTCTTTTCTGTTATAACCATTTGTGACCTCCTAAAGGAGAGGTATTAAAAGAATTTTATGTGCCTGATGTGCACTAATGCCATTAATAGCTTTATAATATAATTCCTTTCACTCAGAGCCCCTGAGCGCTGTGGTAATACATTTATTTACTGTTTTATTGGTGGTACTTGGACAATATTGCTCATTGCTCTTTCTGTTCAATCAGACTATTCAGGTGGGAAACGAAGACGCCGCGATGCACACGCTGTTTGCAGATTCTTTTGCCACGCTGGGCAGACTGGACAATGTTACCTTGGTGATGGTTTTCCACCCGCAGTATCTTGAAAGCTTTCTAAAAACTCAGCACTATCTGCTGCAAATGGATGGTCCCCTCCCGCTTCATTACCGACACTACATCGGGATAATGGTATGCAGCGAGCAGAAACAGCCACTCTGGCAGCAGTCTCTGGTCTTGTTTAATAGTGCTTATTACTGTGTTTTGCAGTTTCTAGTTGGAAAGACATTTCATCAGGAGCTAAGGGGAAAAGCAGAGTAGGTTTGTTTGTGTCTGGCTCACAGATTGTTTCATAAGATCAGCACAGGGGAAAAAATCTGTTATAAAAATTAGACAATTGTTTGTTATTGGTGTCTTTAGTATCTCAGAAACTGTTTCTCAGGAAAGCTTGTTTCTATGTGTGTGTGTCCTGTCAAATACACCTCCCTCTAAATCAGTAGTCAGTCCCATCATCTGTTTCTGAGCATCTAAATTCTAAGCAAGTTTTCTGCCATAAGTGGTTGATTTCCAATCTGTCCATTCAATGATCTTTGCTTGATGAAGTTGAATTAAAGTTTTGGGCTGCATCTTAATTTGATGCAGAAAATATTAGTGTTTGAATAAATGATAATGAGTCTGTCTTGGCTGAAAAGCTGCCTGTAGTCTCTCTTGCTATATGTGTTCTAAAACCTGCTTTTGTTGGTAAAAATTCACCTAGAGACAGCTTCTATCCCCTGGGGAGTATGATGCAGCATGGATTACTTGCTTCAGGACATATAATAAATCCATGCCTGTACTTCTCCCTGGGTATAGGCATGTTGCACCTGTAGCCAGCATAGTTACAGTGTATATGAATGAGGGATATTTATGCTGTGAGAACAATAATCAAAACAAGCTGATGTGTTCATCTCAGAAATTGTTTTTTACTTCAGCCTTTGATCACTGCAAGTGTTATTCTTGCATATTTTGAGGAAATGATGACTTATGTTACTTGTCATAAAGCACTTTCTGTATCACACTGTTTTCCTTTCTAGGCTGCAGCACGACATCAGTGCTCTTACCTTGTTAATCTCCATGTGAATGACTTCCTTCATGTTGGTGGAGACCCCAAATGGTTGAATGGTCTGGAAAATGCACCTCAAAAACTGCAAAATTTAGGAGAACTGAACAAAATGTTGGCTCACCGACCCTGGCTTATCACCAAGGAACATATCGAGGTAGGTCTTTCCTGAAGTGCTGTGAATGTACCCTTTTTTCCAGTAATGCAATCACAGATTCTTAGGATTAAGAGCCAGACTGGGTTAAAGATGTTCTCTATTAGTGACTTTGATTTCAGCGCTACCTCACTGTGATATAGCATGATACAGTATCACTTGTGCCCTTGTAAAACTAATGCGATCATGTGCCAGTGATCATAACTGCTCTTAAATGACTAAAATTTAATTTACAACACATTTGTAATTTGACATTTCAGAGTGTCATGTCGGAGTTCAGTTGGTGCAATAATGATGTGCTCAGGTCTGCACCTCCTTAAGTCATGTGCTTTCAGTAGCCAGAGTAGCCAGAACCGCTGGGTATTTGAGATGCTGCCAGAGGTCAGGCAGAACATCAGCCACCACAGTTTTGCCTGGTTCAAATGCTGAGTTTTCAGGCTGGGTTGGAGGGAGCAGGCTGGCAGAACTGCCCAGGGGAGCAGTGGTGGTAGAAGCCAGCCAGGACCACAGCACCAACAAGCCACCAAGGGGCTGCTCCTCTGAAGGCCACCTGGACCAGCCAGCTCCAAGGGCACGTGCAGCGTGCGTGTGGTGATGGAGCTCTCATGGCCTGCCCCGGGACAAGCCCTGGCTACTGGAGCACCTCCTCTGCTCTCTCTGTGCCCTGAGTAAGGAGAATGTGGGTGCTGAGACTTTCTCAGTGCTGCCTTGCCAGGCAGAGAGGTGATGGCAGGTCCTGCTGGGAGGCAGGGCACTGGGCTGTGCGGGAGGGCTCATGCTCTGCCAGAAGGCCCCACACCTCCCACACTTTCCTGCCTGAAGGGGAAGTTGAGAGTTTGAAGCTTCTTGTCAAATCTAGAGCATTCCACCCCCAGGGACAAGATGAAGGGAGCCCAGCCCTGATGCCAGGTTCTTACACAGTTGATCTGCAAGGAGTTGCCAGGGTTTTCTGATGCTGCAAAGACCATTTGAAGAAACATGCAGCTGTTGTGGTTGCATCTTCATTTGAGGTGTGAAATTTCAATGCAAGTCAGCCTGGCCTCCATACAAACCACACGCTACAAAAGGGAAACCCAAACTGATTCAACTGCTGAGGACCAGAGAGGGGAGAGAAATCATCTCCTTTGTAGCTTAACCCTGGCAGGTCATCTGGTAATAGGATACTGAGCACATTAATGGCAGCAGAGAGTTAGGAAGCAAGATTAGATGTTGGAAAAATAATTTTACCTGGTAAAGAAATGTGTTGATCAGTTGCATTAAGGTGGGAGTCTTATGAATGACTTTAATACTTTTGTCTTGCATTACTTTTTAAGCAACTTTTGAAGACTGAAGAGAACAGCTGGTCCCTGGCAGAGCTGATCCATGCAGTTGTTCTCCTTACACACTACCATTCCCTTGCTTCCTTCACATTTGGTTGTGGGATCAGCCCAGAGATCGACTGTGAGGGGGGTCACACTTTCAGGCCCCCTTCCGTCAGTAACTACTGCTTATGCGATATTACAAATGGTTACCACGGGGTGGAGGAAATCCATGCCAGCCCAACTGGAAGTATTCCAGTAAGTATCTGTCTGAACAATCAATCTCTTTCTATAGTAGTAGTTTCTTTGTAAACTTAACACGTGGAGGGTGCCTGTCTCTTTTCATTCATGGGGAGTGGGATTGATGAGCCTAAACCAGTTGGAAAAGTGTATTTAGGAGGAGCTGAAATGACAGTAGTAAGCTGGGAGAAGCTACCAAAGGGAGAGAGATCCAATCCCTGTTGTCTATTTTTTTGGATCTCCTGTCATTCATAAAAGCAAACTGAGATGACTCCAGGTCTCAACTAGTTCATGATATGTGTCCTGAGCCAGGAATGCTTTTTTCACGGGTGCCATGGAAAGTGGGCTCTTCCTTTGATTCCAGCCTCTGACTTTGTTGCCTTGAGGTGTTTGTGATGCATCACACAACACATCATTTTAACAGATCATTCACAGTTTTCTGACTGTCTTTAAAACAGCATTTCCTGCCTGCAGCAATTATGCTGATCTGTACTTGCTTCCACTTAGTGAAAAGCATGATGTTAACTGCACTTTGGTTTAAGAACAGCCATGAGGGCATTTTCTGCTGCAGGTTCCTTGCCCGGGAGACTTTACTGCAACGGTGTGGGTTTAAATGGCATTTAAATTTTGTTAGATGGAGCTTGCTGGCTCTCTGAAGGAGCAAACTGCAAAAGGCAGAAAGGAAAAGGGCAGAACTGTATAAATTCAAGATAACTTTATTACACTTTGTGCTGATGGATTTTTACAAGACTGAATGCTGAATTAATAGTCTTGTGGTGTTAAAACAGCTCCTGTGAAATACGATTATCTGAACTAGCTTTCTTTTGAGGCTTCATTAAGTCTGCATTTACACTCACTCTTCCTTTTTCCTTCAGTGTTTCTTCTCTGTGAGCAGAGAAGGGGAAAAATACAGTTGGGTAGTAAATTGTGGTTACTTCCTCTATCAGAATTTCTGTTACAGCTCCTTGTTTTTCAGTTGTTAATTTAGATTAAGTAAGAGAAACTAATTTTAGTGTGCGAACCACTTGTTCCAAAATGCTAGTTTTTAAATCATGCTAAAAATTCCAGCAATTTAACTGAGAAGAGATGATGACTAAATGTGAACCATTGGGTCAATACAGGTTTCTTTCAAAAAATGTTTTCCTTGAAAAATCCATATTTAAATATGTAATGAAGGATATCAGTTGCATTTAAATTTTCTGGCTTGACAATTTCTGCCATCGTTGTCAATTCTCGTTGCATGAAAATTAAATTTCTTTCTCTTCTTTTTAAGTCTACAGAGTCAGTCTGTGAAGTTGAGGCTCTTATGGAGAAAATGAAGCAGCTACAGGAGTGCAGAGATGAAGAGGAGGCCAGCCAGGAAGAGATGGCTACACGTTTTGAAAGGGAGAAGAGAGAAAGCATGTTCGTGTGTTCTTCAGGTAGAACAGACGTAGAGTGAATATATCTTTATTCAGACTTTCTCAAATTATTTGAAGAAATACTTACCACTGTAAAAGTGTGGGGGGGGAAGTGTTATTAGATGTCTCGAAAACATTACCATTTCTTTGAAAGGATCGAGATTAGGGATGTGTTGTTTTCTTCCAGAACACTTAAAAGCAAAGTAGTGCCAAAATTTGTGGCTTCTCTGAAACACACCATAGCAATACTATGTTTAATAAAAATCTCCAGCAGAAATGGAATCTCTCTTTTCAGAGATTTAAAAGTTTCATAAGAGATTTAAGCATCTCACAAGACACTCTAAAAAGGCCTTAACACACTTAGCTGTTTAAGTGTATGAAATGTTGCTTTCAGGTGACTGAGAGACAATACCTAACCTCTTACAGGTTTAGGGTTGTCATGGGCTCTTCAACAATTTCATCAGGAAGTCTCAGAAGTCTCTTTTTTAAGAAGCAATCTGTTCCAAAACGGGTTTTTCCCCTGACATTTTTACAGACCCCTTGAGTTAGGAGGAAAGTCTCCCCTAGGCTTAGGGGGCAGGGTGAAGACTGGTGCACAAAAGAAGGGAGAAAAAGATGTTTGTCTGTTAGAAAGAATCTGAGTGTTTTTCATGGAGTTGCCTCCATAGCTGTAGTCACACTGAGCTGTACCAAAGAATCTTCATACGGGTAGTCCAGTGAAACTCTGTGTTTGTTTAAAAAGCACAGAGACTCCCATTCTTCTGCAAAAGTTCTGCTAGGAGACTTTCAATTTGTTCTTACCAAAATTTTGTGAAATTCTGTTTGATATTAACAGAAGATGAAGAATCTGCAGCAACAAGAGATGTGTCTCGTCACTTTGAGGATACCAGCTATGGTTACAAAGACTTCTCCAGACACGGAATGCATGTGCCCACCTTTCGTGTTCAGGTAACATGGATGGGGTCTGCTCTTGGGAGGTTTAGTGCACAATCTGTTTGTTGTGCCCAATACCAAACATGGAAATCACTGTGCTGTCTCTTACTGCCCTGTGGATGAGGCTTAAAGACAGCAAATGAACAACCCCCACCTCCCAGTGGATTACCTGCTCTGACAGGTTACATCCTCAATTACATTAAAGCATCGGGTCTTCACAACGTCATTTCTGACATTCTCCATTCTGCATTTTTACTTATTCTAAGGATTATTCCTGGGAAGACCATGGCTATTCCTTGGTTAATCGTCTTTATCCAGATGTGGGACAACTACTTGACGAGAAGTTTCATATTGCTTATAATCTGACTTACAACACAATGGCCATGCACAAAGATGTGGATACCTCAATGCTAAGACGAGCTATTTGGAACTATATTCATTGTATGTTTGGAATAAGGTCAGTTTCACTATTTTTGTTCTAAACGCATTAGTTTTTCTTTCTCAGATTGAAGCAGAGTTGTTATTTAAGTAAATGTGTGTATTTTTTAAACATATTTGTGTTTATTGGGTAGGGCCAGCAGTGGTACAAATGACTCAACAACTTCTTTTGCCATAGGAACTTAGAAACAATGCAAGTGAAATAACTGCTTCTTGAAAATGAAAGTGATTTTCTTTCAATTCCAAACAGATACGATGATTATGACTATGGTGAAATTAATCAGTTGTTGGACCGCAGCTTTAAAGTTTACATCAAGACTGTGGTTTGCACTCCTGAAAAGACCACAAAAAGAATGTATGATAGCTTCTGGAGGCAGTTTGAACACTCTGAGAAGGTACAGTTTGCGCGCGTGCTGAGGGACAGACACAGGCCCCCCGATCGATGCCACCCTGACAGGCACAGCTACCCAGCTAGCACTTAAGCTTTAGCTGATGTTACTGGGATTCTGCTCACACTCAGTAAATTTGTTAGGAAGTGTAGTATTCTCAGGCTGAAATACCTTCCCATTTCCTACTGCATGTTTGCTAGCTAAAAGCAAGCTCTGAGCAGTGTGGGGGAGGGAGTTAGACATATTAATGCTACAGCTTCACCTCAACTGTAGTTGGTACTGCTTGTATCCCAGAGAGGCAGGGAAGGGATGTGAGATCCATCCCTCCCTTGGCCTTAGACTTGGAGCAGCTGCTGGCTCAGCCAGGGTCTGTGCACTCCCCTGGTCCTTTAAGCATGGATGGCCCCAAAGTAGTTCTTTTATGGTAAAGCCTGAAGCCCTGCTGCTGGGTTATAGTCTGAATTGCACCTCCCAGTCATATTTCTTGCTGTTAACTCTCAGATATCTGCTCCAAAAAGTTTATATTCTCCAGTTTTTCTTTGGAAAAATATTTCTTGGCCTTGCTTAAAATCAGTGCTGAAACATAAAGATGCCTGAATCGTTAGTGTTCAAATCATCAAAGGCTCTAGTTCTTGCTAAACCCCCTAAAACAGGGTCCTATAACTACAGTGATTTAAGGGTGTTCAAGTAAAACACTACCTCTGTTTTGGTTAGACTAACTGATACACGAGATTTTCAAGCACACAAATTCTTCTTTAAAGCCCAAAACTTTGCATCTCCGTAGCCATCAAAATCCAAAGATCCTGCATGTACGTGTCACTGAATGCAGTCACCAGTCATGCTCAGGGAAATCATGCAAATGAAACCACACATAGCCCTCACATGCTGGAGCAAACTCACAGCCACCTGCTGTCAGTGAGAAAATACTTTCCACGCCCTCCCCCACATAGTTTCTGATCTCATCCTCAAAGAAAAACATTAAAGACATTGAGGAGATGAGCCTGGGGAACACTCTGGTAGCTACTGAACACCTGTGTCTCAGTAAAGACAGCAGTTTTGTGGCACTTTAGAGTTTTTCGTGTGCCTCACCTTGGCTAACCACTCCACGTTGTTCAGGTGATAACCACCTGTGTGTTTCAGCAGGGGCAAACTACCTTGTCAGCTCTGCTCCACAGGTACCAGCTGCCCTTTTGCCTTTAATCGATTACCCTCACTAAGCTAAATTTGAACAGGCCATGCATATTCTGCTGCTGCTGAAGAAGGGCTTGTGTGCTTGAAAGCTTGTCTGTTTTTTCCAGCTAAACCAGCTGGTCTACTAAAGGGTGACTGCTCTTCCTGGGAGCATGGCCCTGTTTAGGTGCACGTGTGACCCCCTGCTGTGCAATGCCACTTGCTCTGTCCCCAAGGAGCTTCATGGCAAGAACTGATGGTCTGGGTGGCTCACACGGGCTGTGCTCCCCTGCTGCTGCTGCTGTTGTGGCTGCTGCTGCAAGCACTGACACGAAAACCACAGCCCTGCAGGCTTCCTTTAGCTGCAGCACACCATTGTGAGCACACCACTAAAGCCTGACTTCTCTTTCCTGAAGGTCCATGTAAATTTGCTTCTGGTAGAAGCTCGGATGCAAGCCGAACTACTTTATGCTCTGAGAGCTATTACTCGCTATATGACCTGATGTCTCCGGCTGCCTGTTGACGTTGGAATGTTCTGCAGCTGCAGTGTGGCAGAGGAAGATACAAAGCCTCAGGACCAACAGTAGCTATAAGTTAAGATGCCCATTGTGCCATAACTCCTTTAGTTTCAGCTATTTCCATGTTTGGAATATCGTTGCTGCCACTCGGCAGTGAATGCTTGGCAGTTGAAAAGACAGGGTTGTACAGAAGTGCTGCCTGCTCATGGTATTTTGGCTTTAGACATTATGGGACATTCTATGAATTTGTGGCAATATAGCAAACTATAGACATATAGATCTTGTGTTAAGGCAAATACTGTGGGAGTTGGAGCGCGAAAAGAAGTGGGATTTGATGACATTTGCTTTCCCTACAAGAATAATTTTAGAAAATCTTGATGCTGCTATTTGTGCAGGTGGAGTGAACAGACCCAGGCTGTTCCAGTTAAGCTAGAAGTGGAAGTGAGCACTGCTATTGTCTGAGCCTTTACTGTGTGTGGTTTCAAAAAAGCCTTGTTATTTAGATTCCCTTTTTAATCAGAACTAAACCTCTTCTGTCCACAGTGATAATCTGAAAGATAGCAGTCAATTTTCTCAACTAGTTTAGCCTTAAAATGCTACAGGACGTTTGTTCAGCATTATTTTGTGAGCTCCAAAGTGCAATGGTCTTCCTATGGAAAAAAGGGGACTGGAGTCCTCAGAGCTTTTTAGAGATCTACCTACCTAAAGTGTCGAGTAGCTTCTTGTCCTCTTTTTCACAGATGAACCAAGAAGGAGCTAGGACAAGGTGTGGGAATGTTGTTCTAGACTGCCAAACAGTCCTACTGTATTACATGCCCAACGCTGGTCTTACTGATTTTTGCAGTTGCTTAAATAACTAGGCTAAAAACCATCTATTTTTAGTAAATCAAAACATGATTAAAATGCTGACGTTTAATATACATTGGTTTTGGAGAACACATGAATACTTTTGTATGAGTGTGAATTGCTTTTTAAATTTGTCAGTATTACTGGTATTTTTGAAATAAAGGTAACAACTTTTTCTCTTGGTGTTTCTGTGTGGTTTAACTTTAAGCTTCTGTTCTTACTGGTTCAAAGACCACTTAAAAATGTTTGAAACAGTAACTGTGCAAACATACTTAAAATGATGAGCCATGAATTTTTCAACTGAGTCTAAAATGATGGGAGAAAATAAAGTTTAAAAACATAGATCTAGATCTTCAGTAATACTGTAGTAGGAACACCCTTCCTATACTCCTGATGTTTTCGCCCTTCTCATGGTCGTCCACCTTCTATTTAGGAATACTCTGTCATGTAAGGTTTTCTCTTTTCTCACAGGCAATGGACATGGTGGGCTCAGAGATTCCAATATATGTTAATGCAATCACTTATTTTCGAAAACTAGCTCTAAATATAGTTTTAAGAGTTAAACTGATTTTAAAATCCTTCAGTAGTGAATTTAGTTCCAGATTAGGCTGCTGATTTTCATTGGCTACTGCCAGAAGGGTGGTAAGGTCTGTGCAGTCAGATGGAGGTTACAGTCAGGCAAGAGGTAACAGAGAGGGGGGTTGCTAAAAGGGAGCGACAAACTATTTTGGACACACTCCTACAGCTGGTTGTAACAGGGGTTGTAGTCCAAGTGTAAAAACTCCTCCCTGTTTAGAGGAAGGTAGAAGCCTTATTTGTAAGGCAGGAAAGTGTGTCTTGAGTTCAAGAAGCATTTGGACAACGTTCCCAGGCACATGGTGTGATTCTTGGGGTGTTCTGTGCAGGGCCAGGAGATGGACTAAATGATGCTGAGGGGTCCCTTCCAACTCAGCATATTCTATGAATCTATGAAATGGTTTTCCCAAGCCCACAAGTAGAATCCACTTGATTTCTGTCCTCTGGCCTGGGTCTCAGCTCAGACTGGTTTCTCTTACTGCAGAACATTCTGGGAACAGTTTTTAGTTTACAGTCCAAGAAGCTAAAATACCTAAAAAAAAATCTAGGGGAGAAAGATTAATAAACCGTCAAAAATTGTGACTAACAGGAAGCATCTGGTGCTTCCTCTTAACTGAAAATACAGGATTTTTAATGTTCCAAAAAACAGAACAAAACTTTCCTGTCTAAGGGCATATCATACAGCTGAGCTGTGCCTTTCCAGTCTGTGAAGGATGTTTCGGCAGCACCTCAGTCTCCTGCTGCTTTTTTGGGTCAAAGGTAGACATGGAGTCTTCCAAGAAGCCTAACCTGGCCACTTCCATCCAAGGCTCTTCAGACACATCCAAGTGTCCTCTTCCTTTTCGAGCAGTAAACACGGCAGCATATATGTGTGTCTGAGTGGCTGCACATGGTCACAGTTGCCATCAGAGCACGAGCCGCAACATGCAGGCAATCCCAACTACACACCAAGCTACTTACTTTGGAGAAAGGGCCTGAAAGTTTTTGGGGATTTTCCATTAAAAAATGCAGAGGGGTTTGTGGTCCTAAGTAGAAAACAACCAGCAAGGCTGTTTGTTAAGCACAGTGTCAGCCAAAGACAGCGGGGTGAGTCATTAAAAACAAGACAATGGTTAAGTTGACAGACGCTTCATCACAGTAGCGATGGCTGCCCGGAGCAGCAGGTGTGAGTGATGGGAGGGCACAAGGGACCAGCCCCAGCCCTGCCTTGGTGACCTCAGGTGCACTGTGCTCCTCAGCTCTCAGCCCTGACAGTCCCAGGTAGCCCCGCAGAGCCCCAGCCTGCGGCCTGTGGGAAGGGCAGCACCTTGTGTGCGCAGCAGCAGCAGCGTCACACCCCCCTCAGCTGCAGAACTGGCAACCCTCCCCAAAGGGAGGTGTCGCTAAACAGGGATGGGCTCCTGCACATAAGAGACCTGTTTCATTGAGGTTTGTGGCAAAGATACCCAAGTGGTAGACAATGCCATAAGAACACACCTGAAATTCGGCATTCTGGGGCTGCTGCTTCTTACCCACAATTTTTTTCTCCAGAGAGAGACATGGAGCCATGCAGCTCTACTGGAGCCACTGCCGGTGGTTCCATCCTTTCTTTAATACTCCCCAAAAGTAAATCCATTCTTTTCTCCAAGAAACAAATGGAGCCATTTATCTTCTGTTCAACTTCAGCTAAAATTAAAATGGCAAAAGAAGGGATGATAATTGAGATATTTTCAAGCTCAGCAGAGCTGTTGTAAGAGCCAAACCACACTGAACTGCTGAGCAGTTCCTGCCTGTGGATTGCAGTGATGGAGGCTGCCACACGCTCCTGGAGCAACTCACTGTGGGGCTGAGCCAACTAGGCACAAGAAATAACAGAGCTGCTGAGACACAAAGAATATAGAAAATTTCATTACCTTCACTGAAGTTTCCTTCTCACCATTCCCAAAACCTGGACCATGAAATCTCCTCGTGCCTGGCCTATAGAAGCAGGGGCCTAAATTAGGAAAAAGGTCTCCCTACTCTTCTACTATGGCTCCACTTCCCAGCCTCCTCTCTTCCTCTCCTCACTCGGAAGCAGAGGCCTGGGCACTCCCAAAGGTACAGCAGTGCCACTGAGGGAGCTCTGAATCACTGCCTTAGAACAACAACTTCTTCCAGCCTCCGCAGGGATTGCCAGGCTGGAAACTCTCCTGCTGCACACAGCACAGTGCAATGCTGCTGACCCTCAGGAGCAGGAGCCCGGCAGCCTCCACACAGCAGTTTATTCTTAGCAATCTGAGGTCAGAAAAGAGAGAAATAGGTCAGGTCTGTAAAGCTCCCTGGAGCCAACTAGGCTGTTAATGCGTGAGGCCAGCGATGCGCCTGCTGAGCTAATCCATGGGCTACAAGCAGGGACTTCTACATGCTGAAAGGATGAAAACTGAGCAACAAACAAGCCAGCAGCAGTTAGAAGGAACATAAAGGAACAGGTCTTTTTTTGCCCCATGGATGGAGATGCAGGTTCAGGGGAGACAACTGGCCAAGGAGTCTGAGAAGCAGAAGCACACAGGTGGCCCCTCAGAGTGTTGGAAAAACTGAAAGAAGAACACAACAGACCAGCTAAAATCATCTCTGATCAGGGATACAAGTGTTTTGCCTTAAGATGTGAAGTCCCAATTCGGGAAAGGCCAGCACAGCTTATATCCTGTAAGTGCCAAGGCAGGAGCTGGGATAGCTGGGAGGATACTGTAGACCCCAGTCAAAGAATATCAGAAAAAGAAAGGGGGATCTCCAAAGGAAAGGGAAGTGACTTTTCCCCAACCACTGACAGCATTCAGTCTGAAGAGTGAAGCTCATGAAGGAACATAGGACAATGCCCAAGTAGCATATGGGTTACTGTGTCACACAATTTTGTATAAAGTAAAATCATATACAAGTCTGTAGGTGAAATGTGGCTCCTGTCACATAATGTTCTTCTGTACTGCACAGCATTTTTGGTACCACAGAGGTCCAAGTACCTTCTGAAAATTAAAAGTTCAGCAAATACATTTGTTTCTTTTTCCCAGCCAGGAAATTATGGAATCAACAGACAAATCACACTGAGCAGCCGCTTGATCAGTTCAAGTCTATTGTAAAAAGTAATTACACATGCAAAAATTTCATACAAGCTCTTCAAAAGATAGCCACGCTCTTTAACTTTCTTCCTCATGGCAACATACAGGTATATTAGAAATATAAAGCTATACAATTTACATGACCAAAAAAAAAAAAAAGAGAGAAAAGACTGACTAAAATGGAATAATAGGCACAGCTGGAAGAAAGGAGTGATGGCTTTGAATTCTATCAAGAAGTTTCTCTGCCACAGGTTTGAACTCTCTTTCCCAATGTAGTTTGTGGGAGTCCCTTCCCTCTGTCTCGAGGCTGCAATCCAACACTAGCTTTTCATCTGCAATCAAGGAAAATATTGTCATCAGTTCTGAATAAAAATATACCCAACTATGTATTTTATGACTACGGCACATACAGCTTACCAGTTGTGCACGTTGATGGCTTAAAAATAACTCTGCACTTCAGATAAGCTGAGCATCACTGTCTGAGGGATTTAGATTGAATTGAAAATAAAGGATGTTTAGGTCAGTAAAACAGTGAAAAGGGCATTGCAGGTTCTTTTATTCTTACAGGTGTAGCTAAACTGTATCTCCAAGACCAAGCAATTACTGGGGCTGTCGCTCTGCAAAGTACCAGGATTTAACATTACCCACAGCAACTTTGCTAAGGTAAGGAATCAACTCATCTAACTACAACTATGTTTTCCCTGTCACAAATTGCTCTGCTACTCTGGTTCATGGAGACCCTTTCAAACTCTATCTACTATCATACTGAGGGAAACTGAAGCACACTAGTTACTGTATTACAGATGCCCTCCCTTCCTCACAAATTTAAAAAATAAAACAACAGAACACTCTTTAATAAAGGCAAGCAATGTTAGGAATTAAGGGAAGTCATCACTCATTATTCCCCCTCCGTTATGCCTGGCACTGGATGTGGCAAAGAGACAAACTCTTACAGAAAAAAGAAACCAGTCTGCAACCAGAAGCATTCTCCTGAATCCAAGAATCCACAGCTGATAATGCTGAACAAATGTTTTCATACAGTTTAACAGGAGGATATTTGACATTAGGGTACTTTACTTTAGACCATAAATGGGCCTAAAATGAAGGTGGAATCCTGCTCTAAATGGGAGTGTCAAGTGTGACTTACCTTTGGTCTAGGCTATGAAAGAGCACCAGATTCACAACATGTTAAACGAGTAACTCTGTCAGGGAGCTTACTGCACAGTCACAGCAGGTAAGACAACTTGGGGCTGAAGAGAAACTTCAGTTCCCACATTTTGAGTCAAACTTTGTGTAGAAAGGAGATGCTCATGCATCCAAAAGCATGCCAAGGTGCCTGTGCAGAGCAGATGGCCTGAGCTGCAACAGCTAGAAAGGAAAGAGCAATATTCCTTGTGCATGGAGATGGGCTCTGGTTCATACAAAGCTACCGGCAACTGCAAACAGTACCTGACTTCTGTGCCACTACACTGTTTCTAAACTACCAAAATTAAACGTGAGGTAGATTACAAAAGGGGTTCTGCATAAAGAAATGCCATTTAAAGCCTTTCTGTAATAAAATAAAGAGAAAAGACCCATTCTTTCAAGATGGATGTCATATCTCTGCAGGAAGAAAACCTGTAATCAGAGAGAAAATCCAGCCTCAGTCATCAGATCCACATTTGATGATATCATAGGATAATTTAGGTTGGACAGAACTTCTGGAGCAGAGCCACCATGTTGCTCTGGTCCATGTACTGTTGAGTACTGACCATCTCCAAGGATGGAGATTCCACAGACTTTCTGAGCAGGCTGTTCCAGTGCCTGGCCCCTGCCATGATGGAAATTTCTTTTCCTAATGTTTAATTGGAACTTCATATTACTGCAACTTGTGCCAGTCTGCTCTTGTCATATCAATGGCACAGTAACCCAACATACCTAAAACGACTCCTAGCAGCAGAGAAGTGAAAGAACCTGAAGGGGAAGATAAGGGATTATGGGCCTTGTTTTCAGGGAGAATTGCTTTGCCTACTCCTGATTTTTCTGCCCAAATTAACTATCTCTAACACAGAGCAAGAAACATTTCTCCCTTTTAGTAGACAGCTGTTGCTCCCAGAAGTTGATTGAATGTTTACGGAATCACTGAGGTCAAGAATTCCAGTACTACAAGAACAAGGGTCAGAACCAGTTCAAAGCTGAAGTGTTGAACTGAAACAGTAAATTTCCCAAAACAGAATGTGAGTAACACTGTGGATCAGCAAGGATCAGTGTTCCACACGCAAGCTGTACATCCTCAGATAATTTAATTTTCCCACGACTCTCCGCAAAAACTAGGAAAATTGGGTACTGGCCAAATAGCATATGAACTGGCTGCAAGCCCAGGGAAAAGACAAGCACACTGGGTCTGCACACTATGGGGGAAGCTGAAGACCAGAGTGCAGACCTCAGTGGTCTGCAAGGGCTACCCATCCTTGTAACACTGGCAAGACAGGGGCCAGGAGCCCTGGAAGCTACTAGCACGTCATGCAAGAGTTCACATGTACTGAGATTCCAAAATAACCTCCTCGAAATGATAGTGGAGGTAAAGATGAGTAGAAGAAAAAGTCTGGAAAGAGCAAGGAGAAAAGAAATTTCACTGAATGACCAAACAGAAGAATGTTATAAAGATAGAGGTTCATCTCCACTGCTATTCTCGAGGGCCTGGAACAAGGCAAAGCTGCTGCCAGGGGCCTGGGAACATCAGACTCCAGAAGCTTTGAGCCAGTAAAGTGACGTGGAACTCGAGAGCAGCTGAAAGAAGACAAATGACAAGTGCCACTGGAAAGCAGTGCTGCTGCATATCAGGCTCTGGGGATTAGGCAGGGAAAAAGAGAAATAAATGGTGTCTTTTGTCCAGCTTCTCTCTTGGGCCCAGCATCTTTTCAGGCTATTTCCACTCCCTTTTAGCTCCCTCATAATCTCTTGTCATCTTGTGCCAGGTAGTGGAGGGAAAAATAAAGGGGAGGAGGCCAAGCACAGCAGGTGAAGTGAGGTGTTGCTGTGCCATGCTCCACTTTTTCCGCTTCCTGAGGGTGTGCTGACGCTTAAGTAGAGTTCACTGATGGTCAGCAGTTGCCTCCTGCTTCCTGAATGATAGAATCAGAGCAATGACAGTTCAAGGCTGTTACTGAATACAATGGGAGGAGGAAGATATAGGACAGTATTAACCAGCTGCTATTACTAAGATTTGTTGGCTCTTTGCACACAGAGGAACCAGATCCAATGAGTAAGATGTGCTCCTCTTACAGCTACTCTTCTGACTACAGTGTGAAGAAAGACTAGCCCTCTGATTTCATTCTAACCTCTTTTTAATTGTCATTACAGTTGCATTACAATCACAATTGCAACTGCAATTGCAATCATACATGAACTTCCAGTTCATGACAGATGTACCTGTTAATGAGAGTCACAATTACTATCCAGCCTGCACTCTGCAATCAAATCAATTGCTCAAATAAGCATTGTTAAATGCAGAGGAAAAAGTAAGTACAAATTTTCTAAAATGAAGATATATATTCCTTGCTGCATGCCAGAAATTTCATGCATGATTGTGGCTGTAAAGTTGCAGAATGTTAAAAAGTGCACTAATAACCTTGAAATACTGATATTTTCAGGTAAATCCTCACAAATTCACCCACTTTTCTCATTGTCTAAAAACAAGAGATCACGGGGATCTCACATTCTGTGTGGGTCTGACAGCAAGCATACATCTTTACTCAATTTCCAATTAAAACCATATCAAAATAAGTTAGTTTCCTTCCATTTCATTGACATTTTAAAGATTCAAGTGTTTTTAAAGAAAATTGCAAATGACCTGCCCAAAATAAAATCATAAGTAAAGCAGTGCTCAAAAAAAAAGAACGAAAATTACATCTACTGACTATAGGACTATCACAAAGCAACTAAAGTCTATAAAATTTGAAGCAAAAGTTAAGTGTCCAGATGAAAAGATCCAACTGGGTAAGCGCATCAGGGTCCAAACATTCCCCTTCCAGCCTGCATTTGTGGAGGAGTTTTGGGAGCAGATGAGACATTGCCACAATGTTGTCCTCGCTCGCAAAGAGGCCATGCTGAGCAAAGAAGGGTGGCCAAGCATCAAGCTCAGCCTGCTGCACCCCAGAGACCTCTGGCTGAGGGGAAAAGCCATATTCCCCAGTGGTGTCCGGTGTGCACTGTGGAGTAACCAGGTGCATCACAGCCAAGCCCTTGCTCCTCACAACACCTGCAGTGACCTCTGAGGCCAGAAGGGCCCACACCCAGTGAAAGGTATGCACTGAAGGTCTAAGCAGGCAAAAAGGCAGCTGGTGGAAAGCATTAGAAGCATGCAAAGTAGGCAAACTAGAGTGGGCAGTGACAGCAGAAAATTCTACCCTGGCAATCTGTAAGACCTGAGGGAATGTGCTGAATGGCAACAGACCACTGTGTTGCTGGATAGTCTAAACCAGTCAACCACTTAAAGCCACATGACAGGCTTCCCAACCAAACTAATACTGCTTTGATTTTGCTTCTTCCATTTCTTTTATTGAGGAAAAGCGACCAAGATTATGAATCTCACCTAAAAGTGATGTGAGCAGCACCAGCAACGTGTTGGTATCTCCTCCAAAGCACGAGGCTGCACTTGTGAAGTTTTCACTGTAGTTCCACAGGGTTTTGCATATCAAACAAGACAGCTGCCAGTCTGCCGGCCCAAAGTCTTGCAAACAGTCAACTAACCTGTCAGTACCAAACAAAAACAGTGGTTTGCTCCATCGAATTTTCTCCTGAGTCCTTCAAAATCTGTAAGTCTAGAAATGTCAGCAAACTCTATGAAAGTTTGCAGGAAAATTCTATGTTAATAAACTTCAGATGCTGTTTTCTTCCTCAGTAACTTCACCCTTTTCATTCAGCGTAGTTCCCTAAGGATATGAACATGCCTTTTGTCTACATGTACATGTGTATGCTGCCTGTACCTGTCCATCCCCTATAACTTTTTAACCCAATTGGCCAATTTCACTGACATGCATCATAAATGTAACCATTTCAGGGACACTAAAATTCTATCAAATTTCATTACAATTTGTGACTGTCCAAATGCTGTTACTGTTTTTCCTTCACAAATTTTCAGACACAGTACAGAAAATTTCAAATTTATGATTCTATATGCTACAGAATATATAATAGAAATTTCTCACATTTATTCAATTTGCCTGTAACTTGTTTTCACTCTACTTTTTCAGCTTTATATTGTAAGTTAACTAAAACATGGGAAGGAAGGATGAGAAGATTATGCATTGTTTACACTGTATAAAAAAGTAATTATATGATGTATGAACAGGAAAGCTTATTGTTTCATAAATGTGGGTTGGACCAACTGCTTTATAAGCATGGGAACATGATCTTTCATGTTCCTCCAATTAAGCTAGATCCGCTATTATCTGAACATCAAAGCTACAAGTGTTGCATCAAGATTTAATATCCCTTATAATATCAGTGCCTTAAACTTGAACTCCCAGAGAGAGGAGACTCAGGAGCTGTTCTCTGCCGAGCATGGCTACATCAGATAGTTCTCCCTACAGTACTAAGTAGTTACAAGAATTTCAACACACCATGTGGGATATCATTGTTCCTGAAGTAACCTTCACAGTCACACCAGATACACATTAAAGGTGCCTATTAACTGGAGCCCACATAGGATCCAGCTGAGTTGAGCATAAGTAGCTACTGCAAAGCCATACCTTAGTTGCTCTGTAGTATGGTGCTCTTCTCTGCTGTATATATCAGCAGGATCTTTGGGAGATTATTCTATGGGTTTTGGCTCTACAGTAGGCTAAACCACTTTAATGCCTCTGCAAAAAAATCCCCATATGAAAGGCTCTTTCTGGATGAACATCAGGTGCCAATTTATCTTCTATGCTGGCATCTTTATTACAAGTTACCAGCCCCAGTAAAAAACAATCCAATTGCAATGTTTTGGATAAACTACTCAAAATTGCCTTTTTCATAAGCACAATCAGGAACTTACTTTCCAATTCCTCCTTCTTCCATCAGAAAAGCTCCTTTGTTCTTATCTACTGTGAGATTGAGCAGAACTCCACAGGCAGAAAAACAGACATCGTGGTTCTTGGAATCAAGCAAAGCAATCATGAACTTGTATACTGGATTGTAAAGAAGGAAAGAGTATTACTGGGAAGATGGACTTACCATACAAGTGCCATTACAACACACTTATTAAAAATGTATCCTTAGAAAGCAGGATACCCTACCCAAAAACTTCACCTTGTAGCATATAACTATGACATTTGTAAAACAGGTGCATGACTGAGAGTATAACATCATGCAGAACAACAGTTTTATTTTAATTTATTTTATTTTATAAAAATACACTAAAGAAATGTGAAAATCCAATTCAGAAGACGTCAAGTTGACCAAACTGAATTGAAGTTTATTTCTTAAAAGCATCACCCTCCTTTCAATTGCATAGTCAGCAGAAACTGCTAGGATTTGGCATCTGGCACTGTTCTTCAATCTGAGTGGCAGGGTTGCCCCAGACAGCACTGAGTCCAGCTGCAACTGCTGCAGCCTGGGGCTCCTGTGGGAGACAAGCAAGAAGCAGAGGCTGGACGTGCAGCGTCTCGCAGCGCTTGCTGACACTGGGGACACTGTGGAGGCAACCCCAGCAAGGGAGTCAGTCTTGCCTAAAGGAGAGGCAGCCTCTCAGCTCTTCCTGAGCTTGGCACACCGTCCACAGCCTCTCCCAGCTGGAAAATTCAGTCCTTTGACTGAGACAGTTCACCAGCAACCAGCTACTAAGTGTCAGTTCTCCCTTTACCTCCAAAAATGGTGCTTTGTCCACACTTGATATAAAGGGTTGCATATTGTGGTGTATCACCTTGCTTTCAGCGCTGACAGGTAGATACCAAGAAAATTTACAGTGAACTGGTGTCTAATTAAACTGATGACACACCCTCTGTGGATAGCAAGGAGTTGCCATTTTTCCCAAAGCTCTTTAGATACCCAAAGCAAAAGGACTTGAGAAGACTTGTATCCTACTTCACCCAGAGGCAAACAGGAGCTCTCTTTGTTGAGGCATCTTACAAAGTGCTAACTAACTGCTGAACATGGTATCAAAAATATGTGATTATGAACCTAAATGAGAATTTAGTCAGATTTTCATTTTATATCATACCACTACTAACCTGTAGGATTTGGAAAGCTTGATGAGCGAAGGGAAATTTCAAAATTTGAATCTTTAGGAAAAACAGAGGTTTTGTAGTATTTACCTTTGTGAAAGCACCATAGTGTATTTTGCTAATCCAATATTTCCATTTTAATGAAACTGAAATAAAATGGTGTTTATAATGACTATTATTGGATTCTAATGTTTGCCTAATTTGCAAAACATCAGGGAAGATTGCTTCTACCCTTTAACTGAGACAGCTTATTAACAATCTTTTCTTTTCAGAACCATGGACATTTAAAAACAGGAGTCGTACAAATGCAAAAGCAACTCACTCTTTTTCTGCATGATGAAGTCACAGACCTCATGATACTGGGAAAGATTGCCAAAGACTCTGACAGCCTCCACAACTCCATCCATATTGTTGCTCATTAACAGCTTCAAAAGCACTATTGGTTTGCAGAGAAATGAAACAAAAACAATTACCTGTATATCACAAATACGTGCTTGGCTTCTTATCAATGAGTATCAGAAGCAAGCAGCAACAGCAACAAATATAAGAAATTTCTTATATTTAAGAAATATACAGTTGTCTGTCTGGTGGCAGTGAAGGGGGTGAGCTGATGGTAGAGTGAGAACTAAATTGTGTAGGGTTTTGAAGATGAGACAAAGAGCTCCAATATGGGGCTAAATGCAAAGGAATAAACAGTTATGGACACAGTCCAAGCACAGTTGTAATAATGGGAGCCAGGTTTGCTATGCATTTTTGAGTGGGCTCATGTGGAAATCCAGCAAGACATAATTAAAAAAAAGTTGTAATATATAAGAGAATTGATTCAGATCCTGAACGGATGGTCTTATAGTGGGATGTCTCCTAAAACTCAAATTATTTTCTGACATTAGCTCTCTTTTCTCTCATTCCTGCTATAACAAGGAAGCACATTTTCTCTCAGCAGCTACTTAATATTGTCTCAATCCGAAGCATTCACTTCCTTGCTGCTTTCCTGCTTAGCAGCTTAATATATGATTAGTGTGTAACTTCAGCAGCAGAATGAGAACTCCAGCATTTCATAGGAAGAGCTATCATCATGGGGGGGTTTGTTGCATGGCAAAGGAGCGATGTTACAGAAGTTACATTTATCAGTCTTCTGTATGACACAAACCACTGAAATCAGTCCATCATATACAGGATTTAAATAAGTCAACCCTTAACACTTCTACCACAGAAAAGTGAAGGAAATAAATATAGAGTAGAGGTTGGCTTAGTTCCCATTACTTCTGTCTCTGAATGTTGCAATACTGAACATGTCTTGAACTTGTCTTAAAGAAACATCTGAAATTATTATTTTTTGTCTTTGGGAACCACCACTTGTATCAGTAAATATTCTCAAAATGTCTCCTGGAGGAGGAAGCCTGCTGGTCTTCCATCAAAGGGTTCTCTTTCCTCAGTTCAGGCAGAGGAAAGGTGATGGCACTAGTTTCACATGCTAACGACCAAAACAGAAGAGGGAGAGCAAATGGGACAGGCAGAGAAGTAATTTGTTTCCACATTTTCCAACCAGCAGTAAGAGGCAGCTGGCTTATAGGTGACAAAATGAGTCATGACAGAACAGCAGAACTGTTACCTCTACCAGTCAGGACACTAGGTTGACAGCCAGGATATTTTTTCCTACTCCTCGTTCTACCTGTTGTGCAAACTTCAGGTTCTGTCTCTCCCCCATGCCTTGTCTATTTAGACAGAAAGATATGCAAGACATAAACTCTACCTTTTGCACAACATTAACACACTGAGACCCAGAACTCAGTTGCAGTTCCTACACATCACTAAATTATTGCTGTCCATACTGTCACGGGGGAGAGAATCCCCCACTACAATGGATTTATAAGCCAGAAAGTGACAGAAATCAGATTTTGCAGGTACAGAAAGTATCGAGAAGAAAAAAAAAAATCTTACTGTACCCTGATGAGAAGTAAAAAGCCACATGATTATTTTGACTCAGGTATATGGATTTTTAACAAATCTAGCAAAAATTGCTACACAGAAAACAATATGGTAAATTCCTTTGGGGAGTCAAGGAAGGGGTTTTGTCAACAACTCAGCTACTTTCATATAAGTCACAGAATTACTTTCCAAAAGAATCAGAAATCATTATGGGAAGAATTTAGCCCTATGAGCTTTATATTCCTACAATATGATACCACAAACACTATCAGTGTCTTTACTTTCTGTTATGTCAAAATATTTTCACTTTCTAAAAGCTATACAAAAAGTAGTATTTTAAAAGTCCTTACTTTCAGCAATGTGCAGCTTCTTGTCTTGAACCACAGAACTCTCCACTTGGTAGTAGGACAAATTGTTGATTGTTGTGGCAGCATTGATGACCAGCTCTTCACAGTCATCGATGGACTTGTATTCTGAGAGTCAAAACCCACAAAATATATGTAGATTCACACGCACATGATTCTGACTTAGGAGTGCATTAGATCTCAAAAGCAAACTGAGTAATAGTTTACATGGCCACTATTATAGTCAACTATTCTGTTTTTCAGGAACATGGCAGAAGCTAACAGGAACACCCGATCCAAAAATGGCAATACAAAGTCACTCTTTACAACTATCAATTTAGAGAAATCATTGTGATTAAGGAAACAATTTAAAATCTAGTTAGTTAAGGCATTTTACAGAACCTATTTGCTATTTGAAGATGGCACTGAGGAGAATCCACATGCAGAAATAGGGCTATGGGACAGACACAGAGAAATACCAAGGACTATTATACTGAAATGTTAGGTACCTTGAAAAAAAAATTGGACAAAAAATCTTTAACAATATTTGAAAGATTCTCTTAGAGTTCCTGACAGAATGTTAACCAGCGTAAAATCCCATGTGTAAGTCTGAAAGTTGTGTATACCGATTTATCTGAGGTTTCTGGCCTCAGAAACCAAGAGTGAAGGAAATAAAAGAGGGGAGAGAGAACATTTTGTAGTAAACTGACTGATGTAGTAAACTGAGTGCTCAAGAAGAGGGGAGGCTAGCAGAGAGAAGCTTTGAAGCTCAAAAGCTTTTACACAATGATTAAGACATTGAGACAGTTTCAACCCATGAGAGAGAATGCAGTTGTGAGTCTGCCTTCTCTAATCCCCCATGACTATAAGATAGAGTATAATCAGGTTGATTGTCTTAACATATTTAATGTTCTCATCACAGAGTAAAATACACTGAGCCGTCTGAGATGTATCTTGTCAGTGCTAAACTCTGTTACAGGGACAACAAACCCAGTCCTACTCTGTTATTAGATTTACAAAGGGATCGGTAAGTGGTAAAGGAACTACAGTCCTAAGCCTCCATTTGGCAGGAGAGGGACACGCTCTTCCATCCAAAAGAGCTAAAAGGTTGGAAAAAGAAGAAAAAAATATGAGAAATTTCTTTGAGCAGGCTGAAAGTTATGGGCGCAGAGAACAAAAAGAATACTTAATTGAGAACAGTCACAAAAAATGCAAACCTTAAAAAAAATACCACCACCAAAAACATCTATGTAGCACCTGACAAGAACAAACTTCCCTTATACATGAACTCTCAGTGAGATGCGTTTAAAATAAAATTTGTTTTCTTATCCTAATGATCATATCTGCAAATCTAATCACTGAATTAAACACTTCTACAACATCTTTCCCCAGATACTGAAAAGTCTGTATCAAAGCAGCAATGCATCCACTGTCTCAAACAGGCCTTCTACGTATGAATATCAGCAAATTGACTTTGGTTTTTTTTGCAATGAAAAATCCTGAACTCTCATTATAGGCTGAAGGAAGATAACAAACACAACGTAGATTTTATTACCTAGTACGGTAACAAGTAATTCAACAACACGATGAGCAGCTGCCAGGGTGGCTCCTATGCTGGGATGAATTGAGAGATTGGCCAGCACTCTTATCAGTTTTATCATAACATCTTCTGCTTCTGAAGGATGCTTTAGGTGGTTTTTTCCTTTTCCTTCTCTATCATGGTACCATGTCTGTGCATTCAAATCAAGTTCGTAGTAGGTTTGGAATAATGATGTCAAGGTGTTAACGCTTTCCTTTTCTTTAAAAAATTGCTCACGGGCCTGGTTATTCTTTGCTGTTAAATTACCAAGAATGAAGACGATACGGACAACTAAATCCTGCAGTAAAATAAATAAACAAACCATATTACATGGAAAACATCAGAAGGTATGAGCTGCTTAAAACGATAATACTTTATTTGCTTCACAATTCAGGTAATAGCACATCCAGAATGACTGAAGAATTCCAGATACAGCACCTAGAAATAATTTTTTATGCTACCGTTTTCATAACCCAAATCACATAAGAAATCAAAAATGTCTGAGAGAACTAGGATAGCATTGGGGTAATTACTAATGGGATATACTTAGTATAGGTCATCTATTTTTACCAAGCCCACAGTAATCTTAAAACGTCTTAAAACAGCACTTTACATAACTAGAACAATCATATGGACTAGAGCTTACTAATCTTTCAAGTGTCAGCTGTGATGGGCAAAGACCACAACCTTTCCTCCTCTGGGCCTGGTAATGATTGCAGAGGTTAAACTCCGTTCCACTGAGTTATTACTGTTAAAGCCATGTTAGATCTTACTCATTTCATAGTTAATTTCAATTGCTTACAGATAGCCAGATTATTTGTTCCAGATTTTTACCAGAAATGTAATCTAAGTTGACTGGTCTGTTATTCTCCAGTTCCTCCTGTTTCTTCTTTTAAAAACAAGCGCCCTACAACCTTGAAATTCTATACAATTTTTCAAGAATCCCAGTGATCGGAATCCCCTTTCTGTCCTTTTGTAAACACCAAAGGTAAATTGCATCAGGCCTAGCTGTTTTGAAGATATTTAAATATGCTCCAGCTCATTTTTTAGTGATAAATGAACTTAGGCTGAAGTACAGATTATTCATTTGGTCATACTTAACCCTTTTAAAAAAGAAGCAAAAAAAGGCATTCCACAAAAAAAAGCACTTCACTATTCACAGTGACATCTGTCAATAATGTTCACGTTCTTCTGAACACTAGAGCAATTATTTCCTTATTGTCTCCTTACTCTACTATAAAAAGTTTTCTTGTTTCTTTTTATGTCCCTTTTTGGTTGCATCTCATTTTGTGTTGGTTTTTTTTTCTATTTTGATTTTTTGTGCTCTTCCTACCCTTTTATTCTTATCATTGCTAAGTGATAAGTATTTTTATAAAGTACCTCGAGATCTCATGATTTAACCAAGTTGCTCTCTTAAAGCACTTTCTAGCCTGATCTTCAGTGGGATAGAGAATTGTACATACTGAGATAAAGCCTTTCTGTGGTAAGACTAGTGGATCCTAACTGAATGGCATTTAACAACATACTCATCTTTTTCTTACCCAGCATTATGAGATAAGAAAAAAAAAAATTCTGAAAGTCTGAAGTGACCCAAGTTTAAACTAATTAAAACATTTGCCTCTGTCACTTGCATCAAAACCTACTCATTTCCAAAAAGAAAAATCTGTAGCTGTATCTTTACAGTGCAGGTAAAGTAACAGCATTTCTTCAAGTATATCAGGGCCATCTACCCTTACAGATGCACTTGCACTAACCTAGAATTTTGCTAAACAATTTACATGCTGTTTTTCTTCAAACATCTGAATTATATTTACACATATTCTAACCCTCCCTAGTATTAATAATGTAAGTTAACCAGGCACTGCTGAACTCTGTTGAAGTATACATACTAATACTGAAGGAAAAAAAGATGTGTAAGCAGCAAGTCCTTCTTTCCTACAGGCCTTCACCAGTAAGTTCCAGGTTTTAAGCCTCTGCCACAAGACATTGTCAATAACATCCTCTCGGGAACATGAGTGCTATCATCGTACATGAGAAGCAGCAGTCTCCTAAGTGAGGAAAAGGTTCTCACATCCATATATTTAATTTTAGTATCACTCTGTAGGACCTGCTTCCACTTTTTTTAACTAGGCATCATATTTTTTGCTAGCATCTAAATGTCATCAAGACAAATTTTTATGAGCATTCTTACTGACTAACCACTAAGAGCTTTCACCTTTGCTGGCATAACACCCAATTCACATAGGCTGTAAAAATTTGAAACAAACAACTGATGAATCAGAAGAGAGAACTGAAAAAAGCAGGCAGTCTAGTTTGACTCGTTTATATTGACTTTCTAATTTTGGTCAAAATGGTATCAGCCCAGCAACAGCTCTGCCCAATCAGGAAACAGACAAACAGGTACCGCAAAGCAATCAACTGATATTTTGAGAAGTGTGATCTCAGCTGTGCTTTCCACCTACAGCCGAGCAAAACAAACTTATAAAACACTTCTTTTTTAGCCAAGCATATCCGGTTTTAATAGAATAGTATCGAAGATTCATTATCTTCCAGTGAAAATTTAACTAACAGAGTCAAAGAGGAAAGCTGGTATTGACTTCTCCCAACTAGTACAAAGCTCAAGGGTTTGTATTATTTTTGGCTATATTTTTTTAAATGCTCATGGGTAAGCACTGCAAGAGTAAAAAACACATCTCAAAATTTCTGTGTAAAAAGTACATGCAAAGTTGAATGACATTTTGAAACTGCTTGCAAGACTAAACCTGTGCAAGGTCCATGAGCCTTTTTGTACACAGAAAAAAAAAAAACATAAGTGAGATTACTATGCATCTCCACATTTTTTGAGTATTAACTGCATATGGAATTTCAGATATTCTTGCACACTTACGGAAAAATTACATTTATCAGATCAGTTTATATAATATGGAGGTTTTAACATGCATCACACTAAAGATAAATTAAAGACAGGAATTACAGTCAGTTATTTCATCTTTTTAGAGTGAGGCATTCATGTGAGACGTGGTGTCCACAGAGTACCCAAACCTGAGTGGAAGGCTATATATGAGATTACACAGCCTCACTTATACAAACAAATTGGAAGAAAAAATCAATAAAAACTTGAGAAGATGGTCTCTTTTTTTGCTGCTATCTGTGAAGAAGCTATGATATTTTCGTTTTTAAGGTGGTAGTGGTACCACATACTCCATCAGCATTTAACTGTTATTCTTCTGGCAACTGGAACATTCACATTTGATCACAGATATGAAAGATTTCTTCACTTATCTACTTGTAAAAATGTATTCCTTGCACTGCCCTAGTAGCAAAGGTACCTCATGTACTTACTGAGTCACAGAACTTGACAACAGTTTATCTTGGCAATTAAAGTATACCTGCCTTTCAGTGTAAAGCCTGATGGACAGAGGTACAAACAGTACAGGCTTACTTATCAGTAGGAAAGGAAAGCAAATTAGGTCAATAGTTTCTAACTAAAACAAGATAAATAAGGAAGGGGAGTCCATTCCAGAGTCTGTGCATGCTGGCCAAGTACCTGTTGTTACTTTATTTGATGCCTGCACCCTCAGAAGGGGAGGGATAGTACAAAATAAAAGGTCAGATGCCAGCAGCTGTGTTCCTATTGAATCATCAGCTGTAAATGAAATGTGCTTTCCATGTTACACAAACTTCAGTGGAGTTAGTCAAAATTCTACCATCTGCCCTGCTTCTCATTCAAATCTAATTTACACTTCACTTCCAAATTCGTATTTCTGCTTTATTATGCACCTTGGAAAGAAAATCTGGGAGTTCTCTTTGCAAGGTCTGATAATCTACTTACAGACAAAATTGCAGTAGTTACACCATCCTGGAGCTAATCTCTTGTAAACACAGTATGGATTCATCTTGAAGTGAAAGTTCTTGTTCAAACCCAGAAATAACAACTGACACAAAATGAAACTCAATTTAAAGAGAAAAAAAAAAAAGGCTGGGGGAGGAGGGGGGGGAAATGTGCTTAGAATGGTGTAGAATAACCTGGAAGTATCAAAAGCAAAAAAAGTTCTTGACTGAGGAATGTGAAATAAAGAGCAGAGAGGAGAAGCTTTGCCATAGTGATAGCAGAGAGTACTTTGTCAGTAAAAAGGGAACCCCCTTCCCCCCCACATATGACTATATGGATGTATTTGATAAGGAGAGGCCATTAGAAGTATGTAATTATACTTCTGTGTATCCACATCACAGGATCCTACCCGATAATTTCTACACCCCGAAATATGATCTGTTAAGCTAAACTTTTCAGAAAAGGATTCATTTGCACTTAGTGACTTTTAGCAACTCATATTCTTGGTTTGTTTGTGGACACCTGGAGATCTGAGAAAGGTAACAAAAAAAAGCAAGCACGGTGTCACCAGAACAACATTTGATGAAAGGCAGTGTACGTTCTCTAAAAAACACAGGAGGAAAATCTTATATTTTTGCTCTTTAATGGTCAATTACTATATTACCTTTTTTAACTGTCCTAGGCACTATTATAATGTTGGGCTAGATGAAGAAGGAATACAACTAAAAATATGTATTTGTAAATGCAGGAGAAAAGAACCAAATTATCAAGGCAAGTTCTTTGTAGGGTTACCTTGACAAGCACTTCAGCAGAAGTGATGGCATAAACAGCACTCAATCTCCTTTCCACTCACAATTTATTTTCTCACCTATTGTTTCCTCAGTATTTGTGATCAAGGAAGTATTTGTGTGGCTGTTCAACAAACTAGACTGGAAAGCAATGCAGATGATAAGAAAGGACTGGGATTCTTTTTTTTTGGTTGTAAAGCTATTGGAAGCTGGGTCAGTTCTCTGACATGATGTATGGTGCTGTCACACAAACTGTCCTCAGACCAAATGAGGGACGGCACAGTGGGAAAAGGTGAGTAACCAAAACACAAAGAACACTTAGGTCAGCACTGATGACCATTTCTTTAGAAGCAAGCAATAGATAAAGAAACACACCACTGCCCCCAATAACAAATCAGACTGTGATGTCACTGAGCAGAGTATCAATAACACTCTCAAGGCACATAAAAGGCAAACATGTATATCTAAACCAAACAGAGCTGCAATATTACACCATATTGTGAAGAGCCTGTGATTGCCTCTGGGTATTACATGACTTATATTATATGACTGACTGAAATAAGTTCCTGGGAGCTCATCACAGCCAAAATACCAGACAGAAAGACCAGTCACTGCATGCAGATATGCCTTTGCCTAATAAATAAAGCCAAAACAAAGTGGGAAAATTCCCTGCAGTTACAGGCCTCATCTGTGACAACCTTCCCCACTGCAGGAATCCTAAGAGCCAAAAGGGCATTCAAACAGCCTGAAATGAGTGGGGATATCTTGGGGGGAGTGGTGACAAGAACTAGTCTCACAAGCAGAAGCCTGCTTGCTCACAGAGGACCACAAACTGATTTGGGACCCACTACCTGGTAGATGCATTTGGAAAGAAAGCTGGGCAGATCCAGGCACAGTGAACCCGATAAATGTGGACATATCCTTAGAGAGGACAATACGGCAACACCAATCTATTCTTCATTTAATAAATTGTTTCTGACAAACTGATTGTTAAATCAAACAGCAGTGTGCAAATTACAACAGAAAATCAGTCCAGTTCTTCTAACTGATGCAAGAGACGCAAAAATAATAACAAATCTTTTCAAACACATCAGGACCAGGAAGTTTGTCAGAATCTGCAGAACTAATTGATGATCAGGATAAAACAAGCACTCAGAGAAGAAAATGTCATTGCACAGAAGCTAAATGAGTTCTTTGCATTGATTCATGCCCACTCTGAAAGCAATTAGGGACATCTCAATGCTACAGCCTTCTTCAGGAAAGACTCATCAGAGGATCTGTCCAAAAACTCAAGCAATCACAATCGTTAAAGATTTTAAGGAACAAACTGACAAAATAAAGAGTAACATATCACCAGGACTGGATAATTACCCAACAGTTCTAAAAGAACTAATTAATGAAATAGTTTAATTACTAACAGCAATTTGCAACCTCCTGAAACTGCTTCTATGCTTAAGAACTGGAAGGGTAACACACACGAAAACATCCCAAGTGAGATTCCAGCCTGGTGTGTGGAGTAGATAAATTAATACAAGACCACAAAAAAAGAACAAAAAAATTTGTGGACAGCCAGATAAACACAATCAGCTTTAAGGCTTCTAAGACCCATCTGAGATCACCATGGGGCTTTCCAGGAGACTTTTAACAGTCACTTACCAAAATCCTAGCAAAACTAAGGACTCACACTGGAAGGGAAAATGTCTTGGTACAGATAAATTATTAGAGAATGGAAAACAGGGTAAATTAGTAGTTCCTGCAATGGAGGAAGATGACCAGTGGAATTACAGAGTGTTCTGTGCTGGGATCTGTTGTGTTCAACTTGTCCATAAACAACATAGAAAAGTGGGTGGCAGCAGTGATATGGGAGAGTTTCCTGACTTCACTATGATGTTCAAAGTAGCAAAGATGAAGGCTGACCAAAGAGCAGAAAAAGGATTTGTAGTCAACTGGTAATAAAATATGCACAAATTTAAATGCAGATGAACATGAAATGATGTATGGAAAAAAACCAGAGCAAACATACCTTCATGTATAAAATGACTGCCTTTGAACCAACCATAACCACCTGGACAGCAATCCTGGGGTTAATGACAGATTCTTCATGGGAGTTCAATGCTCATGGGAGGTCAAGAAAGCAAATAAAATATTAGGAATTATTGGGAAATAAATTTATGCAGGCATGCAAATCTATGACATGGCCACATCTTAACTGCCATGTTCTGGTTTCCTCAAAAAAAGAGACAGGAATCAGGATTGTAAAATGCCCTGAGAAAAGCAACATGGATACACAATGGTATGGAATAGTCTCTATATCAGAAAGGTCTAAGAAAGGACTCTTCAGCATGAAGAAGAGTTAACTCGAAGAAGATATGATAAAGGTCTAGAAAGCCAAGGGAGGTGTGAAATGAACAATGGGCTTAAATATTCACTGCCTTTTCAAAACAAGAACCAGAAGGTATCAAATAAAGATAGTTAAGCAAACAAAAGGAATTACTTGCTATGGCAACTCCTTGCCAGTAGATCTTTAACATATTTATATGGGGTAGAGAAGAGACTCTAGAATTTCACAGAATAAAAGCCAACTAAAGTTTATTTCATACACAGCTGGCTGAGGATGTTTCTAAACTGGAAAGAGCTGGAGGTCTGGTAAGTATACACAGGGAGTATCACACATGCTTGTTTTTATTGTTCTCTAGACATCTTTCACCATTGCCGAGTACGAACAGTAGACTGGATGAACTGTTCATGTGATCCAATGTGATTATTATTTTGCTGAATGGGCAATTACTGCATCCAGTGATGTCAGATTCTTAAACAAATGTTTCCTAATTTAAAAAGTTGGATACTTTGAAGTATAAAGGGATTTTGTTATACAACAGGCACAAGATTGCTTCGATACAAATTTTAGTATCACACCCTGTGTTTGTGCACTTAGGATTGAAAATAGATTCCTAACTGATAAAACATTACACAGGAGCTGGCAGGGCCCCAAAAGGGCACCTAAGCTCAGATAGTGCCTGCAGTATTGACAGAAGCTACTGCCCTATTTAGGCAATGTGCCTGTTCCAAAAGCATGGCCTTCTTGTGACTTATGACAATAACCACAGCCTGAGGAAGTCACCTTTTATATAGTTTATCTGAAAACTTTGGAGATGATAATGATGTGAGAAAGCGGAAGAGCATCTTGCTAAAAGATTTCTCAAGATGGGCAAAAGTCTACAATGCTGACTAGAAACAGAAGCGTGAGAGCTCATCCTGCAAGACAAGCTCTACGAGAATACTTCTGACAGCTTTCACAGCATGTGGCAGCCACCAAAGATTTTTTTTGTTATTCCACACAAGTAAGCTCCAAAGCCAACCACAAACACATATTTCATATGTGTACAAAAGCACCATTGAATTCCCCAGTTCTACCTTGCAGATCCAGCTTTGCAATTTTCTGTATTCCTTACCTAAGACTATGACACATGGAATTTAGCAAGTCTCGCTAACTCAATATCTCCAAAAGCCTTTCCCATAGAGCTAAATCACTACTCTTCCATTCCATCTGATTCTTTTACCCAAGAGAGAAAACAAGCTGAGAAAAAAAAGAGCTGAAACTGCAGTGTAGTGAGAAGAATAGAGACTATCTGGGTGGCATCTGTGGAATTCAGTCTATGGTGAGGGTGCAAATCATTAATCCTATTTCCGGTGCTCACATTTTTACCTTCACGATACTTAATACTTATTTTTAAAGTCACAGTTATGAAAGCACCTGAGAAAGTCTGAATGCTATTTTTCTTCTATTTTTTTCCACTGTATGTCTCTAGCTGCCATAACAGCCAGTAAAAAAAACTGATATCACAAACTTTACAACTTGAAAATTCAGAAAACATTCACATACTTCCTTTCTTCACATATCAGCTTTTGGTCCTGAGTGAGGACTTTTAATGCTTTGTGTTAATAATGATGATTTTATCCTCTTCTTTGCTTCTTCCCCTCGCAGACAATTTTACTCACACTGCTGTTACTTGATTTCTTTTCAACACATACCAATTCACGCTGTAAGTCACTAGCTGTCAGCATTTTAAAACAAAGATTAGCAGTGCCAACTACACCTCAGGAAAAACATTTGCACTCCTCACAGCTCAAGTGTTTATTATACGCTAGAGAAAAAGTGGTGCATTACATTATCTATATCCCTTTTTCTTCTTTCTGCAGGGCTTCACTAAGCTGGCAACTGACAATTGCATGCTTGTTTCAAAACTGCAGTAAGAAATAATTATTCTGAAAGTGCTGCATATATAATCATCCCAACATAATAGTTAAGTTTTTTAAATACACAAGCTATTTCTTTACTAATTTGTATTTTAATAAAATAACTGACAATTTAACACAAAAAGCAATGTTAATCTAGTGAACAAAGATGTATTTCAGGACCACTTAACAAAGCAGACAAGCAAGAACTACCTAACAACCAAGAATTTGAAGGTATGTATGAGCCTAAAATTTGTTATGACACAAAGCTATTACCTCAGGAGCCTAGAAAAGTTCCTCTTAAAATTACAGATTAAGAATTGGGAGGAAGATGTTACTTAATTTAAACTCCTTATTCCCAGTTCCATAATTGGTTGCACTTTTAATACAGTGGTCACAAGGAAGAATAACTGTAAGTCTAGGAAAATATCATGCCTTTGATATTTCTCATGTTATTTACATAGCATTTATATAGCATTTTACTAAAGTGTCTCTGAAGACTATAAAATGCAAGAGCAGCCTGAATGTAGAAATACTCAGATATGCTGCAGAAGTAGTAATCAGCAGACATTTAGAAACAACTTCATCTTTGTTCCTCTTCCATGTGTATTATCACAGAAAACAGGGATGCAGGTAAACAGGAAAGGGAGAAATCATTTTTTTATTTGGCAGGAGAAAGAATAGATTGTTCAGCATAGCCAATCTGGTTACCTTCCTTAACTCACTTTAACAACAGCAGCACAAAAGACACCCTTCCAACAAACTTCCAGGAATTACTAGCCCTGGGATAAATATATAGGATAACTAAATGTCCTCAAACTAGTTTAGATGCTGGAGCAGTCAAGAAAGTTCCTTTCTTTCTGTATTGCTTTGAATTTTTAACCTAAATTATTTCACTTCATTTATTTACTACTTCGAAATGCTGTCAACCATTTAAAATTTTTATTTGATAAATACTTAAAAGTAGGTCACTGAAAACAAGCTTATACACAATAATACACAGACACATCAGAGGATTAATATATAAAAATCAAGAGATGAAAAAACTGACCTGCTGCTTCTGGTGTTTGTTTAGTAGGGCTAAAAATAAGGTGTAACATCTGGAGCAGTCTGCTAAAGCTGCACAGAAGTCATTGTAGGAAGAAAGTTTGCTACAAAGAGAAAAAATAAAACATAAATGAATGAAATTACTTTTTTCCACAAAAGGTTTAAAAAAGAAAATCACTCTGCTTTTGACTCTCAGAGCTGTATTTTCCAACAAATGAAGTAAATGCCAATACTCTGACTTCTAGCAGAGGCATATGCAGTTACATAAGAGCACAACAGAAGTCTAGATATCCTTGCCACAGTGAATTACAGGAAGAAGCGAACATAAGGAGCTTCCCAACCTGCTTGCCATATGGGCACAGTATGCCAACACTAGCACTTCTGAGCACTAAATGGGAGAACTGTAATGTTAAGATGACGTGCGAAGTCAGACAGGAGAGGAAATAGAGGGTCCCTTCCTACTGCATCTAGAGCCTAATGACAGAACACATCTCTCACCAGCAAACTGCAGAACATGTCTCTTTACAGACACAATTCCATCTCCGTGCATTCCCTGACATGTGGGGCTCCAGCCCCACACTGCTCACCTTGACCATTGCCAAAACAGAGAATCAGACATGCTTCGGTCACACCAGAAATACTGCAATAACAGAACAATCTAGGATAACCTCTTACCTCCCACATAGTCAAAATCAGGAATGTTGATGTTCAATTACAACCAACTATGGGAAGACTTACAGACTTAGAGAAATGAAGAATCTAAAGAAATTGAACATATTCTCTATGAGGAAGCTGCCTAAAGTTACTGATTAAGAGAAAAGAATAATCATTCTGTGTTACTAGAAGACAAAACAAAATTCAAATCTGAGCTCCGTACTGCACAGTACACTTTTTTTTGTGACTGCAATTTCCAGAAAGCTAATTAAATTGATTTTATGGCTAATTTGTATCCTTGGAGCATGCAGTTCTAAACTTATGAAAAAAAATTGAAGCACTAGAAAACTTTAAATAAGACAGATTATTTTTGCTCCATATTGAATTCTAGATTCAATGTCCTTAATGTCCTTATCAGAATTACAGTGTAACTATTGATTACACTTAATTACAAACCCATTACCCCACTTTCCATGGCATTTTCCAAGTAAAAGAAATGCTCTCTCCTCAGAAGAAGCAAATATGCTCTAAGTGCTGTAATCATTGCCAGAACTCATTTTTAGGAATAAAATTAGAAACAGATGTGGAGAAGGTGGCATGGACTTGGGGAAGCAATTCACATGCTTTACAGATAGCAAAGGACAGATTTGCCTGTTTTTAGCTGTGGAGAAGAAGGAATGACAGCCTGCTCTTCGAAGCACAAACCGATCTCATCCAGAAAGGAGAATATGACAGATGATTTAGAGGGGCTGAACAGGAAAAGTCCATATCAGAATCTCAATGAACATGGAGCCACAGGCAACATGACTCAATACAATAACAAAACAGCAATGGCAAACACTTAATCCAGAACATCATGCACAAACTGTCGTTATAACCCAGCTAACTCCTGAAATTACCAACAGTTGATTTCACAACTTCTTCAAAATCTTTAAATTGTTTGCAAATCCATTTAGCATTGGATATTACAAGCTGGTGCTTGGTAACCACACCTGGTAATTTTTGACTAAGAAACTATTCAGACTGCAAAATGATCTTTTTGGTGACTCACTCACGCTGATCTCCCTCTCAAAAGCACAACTTGGGAAGCAGCCGCTGAGCTGCTCATAAAACTGAGATTCTTTCAGCGCTTCCATCTGCACACTCAAGCCCTGATCCCAGAGATTAATCTCCTCAAACACTCTGTGACAGCTCAGAACAATGAACACTGGTCACATTTTCTCTCTTCTGTATTTTATGTCACAATACACAGTCCCTGATGTAAGTTCAGTTTGGGTAATTTCTGTCATTCTTTTTTTTAAACTATGGCCTAAAATAGGATTAATAAATACCTAATAACGTATGCAGCTTTAAAACATAAGAAATGCTAAATCTCAATCAGAATCTGTGGGATCAAAGAATGACACAATATAACAAAACATTTTTCACAGGCACAATGAATCTGAGTTTGTAAGGCTACAAATAAAAAATTCTGTAAGTATTCATAAGGACAAAATTGTCATACAAAATCATTAAATTCTACACAGAGCTTTTTAAAAACCAGAATTTGATGTAAATCTTCCAGCTTTAGTGCTTGATCCTGCCTCCTTTGAGGTCACTGGAAGCAGTAACAGGGACCTGACTGCACGCAGAACTAGCACTGTGCTCTATAGGTACCTGAGTATCCTGACGATGTAGGTGCAGACATCCTGATCGTTCACACGCTGCTCCAGCGCCACACAGAGCTCAGAGGCAGCACCACTGCAAATGAGTTGGCACCTTGCCGGAGGCAAGTCAGCCAGGTTTCGCAGAGTAGCTGTCAGCTGCATGCAGAATATTTAAACATTTGTTAATCACACCTCTTTACAACAGAATACACAGTGCTTCGAAAATTTAATAAAGCCCATGTCTCATTTGTAACATCTAAGGCAGTCTGAATGTCCTGTTCACATTCTGCAGGTATGTATACACCAATAAATAACAACAGGAGACACGTAAGCAACAAGACTGTGTATTTGAAATAACTGCTTGAAAATGAAAGATATTGGTTTTGTCTGCATGTAACCTCCTCCTTTGAGAGACACATGATCTTTAATAAGTTTTAAAATCTTTCATGCATGTCTACAACCCTATACCAATTGGAAAACAGGTGAAATGCTGTACATGGTTAAAGTAATTTTTTGCATAATGCCTGATTTTGAAAATTTATATTTAAGTCTTGCAAATTAATACTGATATATAATATAAATTTTAATAATAACTGTAAGTTGCAAACTAAGATGAATTTACTTTAAAATACAATAAAATTTATTCCAATTAAAAAAATTAAAAGTTAATCAAGATCAAGAGAAATCCACTATAACATATATAATATATATTATATATATTATATATTATGTATATAATATATATTTATAATATAAAAATGAAAAGCTTAAGTGCTCAAGCTTACTTGGAGCAATCAAAATATTTTCATGTGATACCGTTCAACTTAAAGGAGCTTTATGCATAAAATTTCTAACATTTGCAGATATACAAAATGAATAAGCTATTGCATATTTTGAAATATTCCAGTTGTCTTCCAAGGTAAGAGTATTCAAATGCCAAGGTCAGACAGGCAATGACATGTAAATTAATCTTGATTTAATCCAGAACTTACTATAAAATGAATGTGAAGTCATTCAACCTTATGTGAATATGTGAATTCTTCAAATTTCCCTTATTCAAAGAGTGAAGTTATTAACATTAATTTGGTTTTAAACACAGTTTGATAAGGCACACAAACTATCTGTTCAAATTGTTTGTTATCACAAAAAGCTCGGAAATTAAGTCTTTTATCACTAAATTGCACTGCTTGTCCAGTGATATGTAATTGCTAATTTTAAAGAAAAACTCTGACAAGGAGCAGGTTAAGTTGTTGTGTTTGAGCTTTTGCACATAGGATTCCATGCACTACTCTGTCCATTCTCCAGCAGCTTTCAAATTTGCTGTCCTATTCCAACAAATTTGGCAAAAGTGGACATGTCTTCAGTTACCAAAGGATGTTCTGGAGCAACAGGAGAAGAAACAATGGGTCAAAATGGAGAAGCAATGCACAGGGGGGAAAAATTTATGTGATAATGTGAATGTGATACGTGAATGGATTTAGCTTCAGCACTAAATATGAAATCTATACTATACTCAGAACACACAGAAACTGAACCTACAGAAGCCATTTGCATCATATCACTCATAGTTTAAGAAGGTACCTGGAGTTTTTTTGTCATTTTAACTTAATAACTGCAAAAAACAGACATTTCCAGATGTGCATTCTTTCTCAAGACACGATGCTCCAAAAATTAACACAATACTGGAGACATATTTTAATAAAAATATTTTGATTAAATACTTTACTTTTCAAAAGTTTTGGTAGAAAAATTGTCAATTGCAATAGACACAAAAGACTCCATTCAGTGCTCACATACAAGATGTTCACAGTCAGCCTAGAATGATATTTGTTGAATTCTAGCTAAGTTTAGCAACAAAGAAAATGGAGGATAAATTCACAGATTAAAAGTGTTGCTCAAATGCAGACCAGAGCTTTTACTGCAGAAGAGAGACTTACATATTAGATAATGAAAAAACCCCAAATCTTTATCACTAGATAATGGTGCAGAGGTCTCCAAAAAGAGAGTAAACTTTTTCACTGCCCGAGACAGAGGGTTCAAAATCCTCCAGCAGTAAATTGTATCAAGAGCCATTCTCAGACAAAGACAGGTTGGAAAGGAAAAGCAAGGCAAAATAACATATATACTTAAATGTGGTAAGACAATGATATTCAGCAGTTCATAGAACACAAAGGAACAATTTATATATATATCCACAAAGGAACAATTAATATCCAACTGAAATTTGAAGAGTACAATTTAAAAAATGATAGAAGCTAGACAGCAGATGAATTCTAGAGAGATTCAGATTGCTTCAAGCAGACACCGTGACTCAGGGAGAAATGCATAACAACTGGCTCTAGCACTCCTTATCTTGCCATGTGAAAGATCAAATTCACCCAAATAGAAAATTTAACTGCAGACAAACATTGTTTTTAAAGGAGAAGACATTTAAATGTTTTTCAATTAAAGAAAATGGAGTACTTGCTAAGTCTCATCAGTGACACTTCAAAAATCCTGGCTTTTGAATAAGCATTACCATATTTTGTACAAATATAACCAGACTATTAGGTTAAGTAACATAAAATGAGCCAAAGATGACCTTGGTTTCATGGTCTCTGTTAAGGAAAAAATCCCAAATTATTGCAAACATTTTTATTCTTGTATTGTGGGACCTCTGCATAAAATCAATTGTGGAAGAATGAAGAAATCAGATAGGGACTTTATTCCCACAAAAAGGATCTAGCAAGATTATGTATAACACTGCCATCTGGTGATTGTGCAATTATACAGTTAAGGAATGAAGAGTTGGTCCCAGTTAATTGAGATACTTCAGCTATCAGGATTAAAAGATGGCAGAGCCTCCCTCAGAGACCACATTGTGACTATTTAAGGTGCTTTTCTCCCCCAGTAAAATTTGTTCTCTATCCCTGAAGACTTGTATTCATCCTTTATTTCTGTATGTCACTGGATATTCAATCTGTTGTTAGAAGTTACACTATGCTACAAAAATCATGTTTATTCTGAGGACACGAATCACAGAAAAAACTTTCTTCGATACTCTATCCCTGGAAACAGAACTATTCCTTCATCTATGACAACTGAACAATTAACTCACATGGAAGAAGTGCCGCACATAGATCTGTTGAAGGAACTGATATGAGAAAGTTGCACAGGAATTCCATAGGAGTAGGAATCACTACTTTTCTCACAAGAGGAAGAAAAACGAAGTATCTGTACTACTATAGAGGAGAAGACAAACAAGTGAAAGAGCAACCTCAGTGAGAGACAGTTGTCAGTATGACTTCTCCACAGAACTCAAGGCCTTCTTAGAAACAGCCAGTCTGTCCAAACCGTACAAAATAGTTTTGCTACACTTCCAATTCTACTGAAAACAGCAGAGAATAAGAGATTAAAAAAGAGGTGTAAAATGTAACATTTACAAATTAAACCCTTGATCTAAAAAACTAAATTTATCCACATGCAAATAACGGAAGAAAAACATTTCTGCAAAGTTCTGGGTAAGTTCAGACAGCTAGTCAAAATGCTGAAAATAAACGGATTCATTAGTTTTGTTATTTAGACATCATTTGTTATTTTAAATGCCCCCACTGGCAAAGACTTCTTTTTATATCTAACTGACATAAATTTCCATCTCTTTCGACTCAACAATATTCCCATTATATGTATTATACGATTAATGCCAACAGCAGCCATCAAACATCAGTAAGTAATATACTTTGCTTTTAACCATGCTCTCGGAAGGATAAATATTTTTAAAATACACAGACATGAAAAAAGATACAGGACATTTCTCTAATTTAGATTTTAAAATGCCTGCCAAAAATACAACCTGATTATGCACTCACTGAAATGACCACTCAGCTTCCATATGTGAGGCATCAGTCTCTACTTCTTCATCTAAGCTACTTTCCTTATAGCTTAGGTATTTTAAGTCAGTATCATCTTGCAAATTACACTGAGAACAGAATCTATTCTGGACCCCTCAGTAGGGTGTTTCTACCTAAACTGGTTGCCTAAGGTGACACTGCAGTAGTACCAGGACTTCTGAAGTCTAACCAGCATCATTCAAGAAAAATATGGTCATTAAAATTTTGACCATGTGCAAAACCCTGAAGTTTGTACATCTCTGGAAAAAGGCTTGGAAATCCCATATACAATTTTTGTACAGAATGAAAGGTGTGATACCAACAAAATGGCACAGATTATTTTAGAATTGCTTGGGGAATTCATAGTGCCCCAAGAAAGTTAACATGTCAAATACAGGAACTTAATGATGACGGGAGCAGAAAGGAAGAAAATAGGAACACAGCAAGCACAACATTTCCAGTTTCCCCATATATTCTCCCAGCCTGAAGCAATTTGCCACACCCTTAGCAAAATATAAGTACTAAGCCACACCATTTCATTCAGTGTTTCATAGCATCTCCCAATCTGTTTATGTTTGTTTTAAGATTATACACACTACTCTGCACAGACATACCTCATAGCACCACTAAAAAAACAGACCAAAATCAGTAACAGTAACATGATGACATATGCTTTTTGTTTTCTCATTTAGTTTCAAGAAGTACAATATCCGTTGCTTGTAAGTTAGTAAAGAATTAAAGAAATCTGGCATAATTAGTAACAAACTTAGTGCAAATACTACCTCAGCAAGTTGTCCAATATATTTTCCTATGAAGTCCCCAGAAGCGACAAATACCAGGAATCTACCTTGATAAATACAAAAAACTCTGTGTTTCTAAAACACTAAGGTTTAAACAGTTTTAGAGCACAGGATTAGTTTTCATAGCCACCACTCATCAAGGTCTGTTACCTTCAAAAGATTCAAAAAGTGTTCACTTTTGCATCCACTTCTTCCTTATATTACAGTTCTTCAAAAACACTTTGTCAAAGAAACATAGTTATATTTTCTTATGCATTTTTAAAATACATTATTCTTGTAATAAAAAGCTTTCTGTAATCTCCTAAAGTATTGCAGAATCAGTTTGTATTCAGTATTTCAGCTTAAAGAATTTAAACAGAGAACACATTTTTATCTGTTTACTACAATATCCAGAACATTGCCAGCATCATAAAGTAATAATGAGAAACTGGTTTATTAGGTACCCAAAAATATTTCTATTAACTTCAGAATTTCTAAAGCCTTTAAAACTGACTACACAAAAATATCTATGGTAATTAAATTTAGGTCCTGAACAACTTCATTAAACTTCTTAAAAAGAAGTCTACTGAAATATAGGTACAATTCTGTCAGTGGCACACAGGGTTAGCTTATCTCCTCTAATTAAATTTTTAATTTGCCCTTGAAGTGTGTACTTTTAGAAATAAAAGTAAATGCTAACCTGGACTAATAAGTGGCCCAAGTTGGAGAAATACGTGTCATTTTCTTTTACGTTATTAATCTGCTTCATTAATTGCAGCAACATTTCAACAGCTCCTTTGTTGACCATTTCATTAAGGAGTACTGCATTTCCAGACATGAATTTTATAGCTCCCGCACAATAGAGGAGAGCTTCGTCGTTTTTGTGTAGATCTTCATTTCTCAGAACCTCCAACAAACAATCTAAAAGGAAAATCATTATTCAGAAACTCGAATATTAACATTTATATTTCATACAGTCATTGAAGAGATAAACAATTGGGAAAAAAAACTCAGATTGAACTCTTACATTTCTAGTAAGTGGGCTAGAAAAATTGGGTATTTGGATTGAAACCAAGAAACAATTATCGATGAATAAGAGAATGGGTCTGACTTTTGTTCTCCCAGGCTTCAAGAATCAGCATAAGTTGTAAACACATAGCACGAATCATTGAAATCACCAGTCAAGATTTGCAAAAGTGATTGTCTGTGCTTGGAATTTTGTGTACTAAGCTTGATGCATTCTAAAGAGGTTTATTCTCACTACTTCCTTAGAAATCAAATGTCTTAAAGCCTCTCTAATGGACCACTAAAAAGCACGGGGACCTAATTCAAATCTCACATTTGAAATCTGTTCATAGCCTTTTCAGATTTACCTTTTATGTAGGTAAAGGTACTGTAAAAGTCCTGTTCTATGCTACCACTGTCAGATATCTGAAATGTTAAAATTAACAGCTGATAATGGGCACAAGCCTAGTGTATCTTTCACAGTTAAACTGAGACATGCTGAATTTGGTGAGGGTGTCTTGAATGAAAAAGTAATCCTGACCAACTCTATACTTTTGAATTTTTAGTAACTGATTGAAACAAATATTTATCTCTGCTTACTATGTTCCATCAAGTTCCAATTGAATAAAAACATTTTCCTATGTCATTAAACTGAAGAGATTTTTAGATATGTAAAATTTTTTTCTGTCTCAATCCTAACTGAAACTCTCTTCAATATGAGGTTATATGAATGATGTACACTCACACCAGGCTCTTGCTCAAACTCTCCCCCTCACCAACTAAATCACCTGGGTTGTGGGAATGTAAGAAATCAGTTTCAGGTTCCTGCTCTGCTCAGTATCCAACAGGGTCTTGAACAGTAGTTGTCTATCTGGGGATGAACAATTAACTTATTTCTTCTACTGGAGTTGCTCCACTGCACATAAATAGGTCACAGGGCCAGAGGAGGAAAAAGAAATTAAATATATAAGCCAGTGACTGCAACAGGGATGTGGGTGATTATGATGTAAATCCTGGTTCATGTCTTCTGCCTGGACAAGTTGGGTCCAAAACATAGAGTGAACAAGCAAACAAACCAACCCCTAGCAAGAATGCTCTTTCCTTCATTAGTTTTTAAAATACAGAGAAAGAAGAGCAAGAGAAAGAAAAGTGAATGAAGATGGTGAACTTGCCACTGGCTGCCACAGGAGAGGAGCCACGAAGAGGAGATACAAGGACTCCCTGAAGCAACATCTCAGCCTTGGCCATATTGATCATCATCATTGGTCTACTCTGGCCTCCAATCGGGAGGCCTGGAGACACACCATCTATAACGCTGCGGATGTTTTTTAGAACGCACGCCTGATCACTCTCGAGGAGAAAAGACAACGCAGAAAGAACCGTGTCCTGTCAATACCACCTAAGGAGTCTTTCCACTGTGCCTTTTGCAATCAGACTTGTCTATCTCACACTGGCCTTTTCAGCTACCAGCACACTTGTACAAATGTGGGTAGAATCCTTCCCAAATCTTCACTCGTGAAGCCTAGCCATGATGACACAGACATAGCCACGTGACTTGTCCAGATGCTATGTATGATGTTAACTTCTACAAAACTGTAGTTTTCAGTATCCAAAGTCAAAGCAACCTGAGCTGTTCTCTTTTCTGTGAGTCCTTTCCTTAGTACTGGAAAGGCTTACCTTGTCTTTTTTTCTGACAGCAATTGTGTACTAAACTTAAAGACCACGAATACTCTCATCTAGTTAAGCAGATACACACATGCCTTAACCTACACACATGCCTTAACTTACACACATGCCTTAACTTATACACATGCCTTAACTTACACACATGCAATAAAGGTTTGCAAGATCAAGGCCCACAATAACAAAACATACTGAAGTTTTCATGAAATAAATGACTATCAAATGAATACTAAATGTCATTCATACACTCATTTTCTTCATATTTCTTATATTGGCAAGGGGTTTGTGTGCATGGCACAAACATCATTACAATCACTAAGATCTTAGAGCCACTGTTGACAATTCTCCAAAAACACTGCCTCAATGTGCAGCAGCAGCTATAAAAAAACCCCAGTGATCATTCTCAAGATCCTCCCTGATGATGGCCAACAATACAGTCAGCATTATTTCATTCCTATAAAATTTGGTGCAGACAGAGCTTGCATTCTATACAGTTTTGTACTGTAAATCTCAAGAAGGATCTACTGGAGTTTGAGAAGCTACAGAGAAGGGCTTATAAAACAACTGAATGACACAATATCCTTTCAAAGAGAGAGCTAAAAGGCTGAGATGCCTCAGTCTTGAAAAGGATAAGGCAGAGATACGTGATATGAATGTGGTTTAAAAAATCATGAAGGTGAAGGGTAAGCTGACTAGAAACTCTCACAAATCCTGCAAAAACTACAAGCAGGGGGATAATGAAAAGTACATAGATTTAAAACAGCAGATATAGAATTTCTGGAAATTGTTGTTCTGTGAAATTGGAGAAGCAGACAGAATCAGAAAGTTCAAAAAGGAATTAGGCAAATTAATGAACAAAATACCTATAAACAGAGATTAAAAAGGAATTAGAGAGGGATGCACCATCTAATATCCCTAAAAGAATATAACAGTTCTGAATGCTGAGGGAGTACAGGGGAAACATCACAGAAAACATGTAGGCTTCGATGCTGTCTCTAGACAGCATCCCCTGCTGCCATTGTTAGTTAGACACAGAATACTGGACTAGACCAATCACTAGTTTGATGTAGTAAGCAATTTTTAATCTGTGACTAAGTGAACTCTGAGAACATTTCCTGAAAGATGAACAGTCTAACTGTTGAATTTCAACATCTAACTTACACATAAGAACAGAATACATACCCAATAATCTATCATTTTGAACGATGTAATCATTTTTTTCATTCCTGCAAATCTTAAATGCTAGCTTGCAAACACTAAGAAGATTTTTTCCATCCACTTTCATCTGCAAAAAAAGTAAAAGACATAAAAATCACAACTAAAATCTACATACAAAAATGCACCATAACATTCTACAAGTTCAGACACCATGGCAAACTTGTATTCTTAGTGAACTATTAAATTCCAGATGAAACCCTAACAATATACTAAACCAAACTGAAAAAGTTTGCAGAATTAAAGGACTCTGAAACACAGATAGTTTAAGCTTTATTTAGCACTGTGCTGACTGACTTTAAAATAAGGTGATATACAAACTTTTAATGTAGTTAAGTATATAAATCTGCAGATAGTATATCAGTAACTTGTAGTTTTTCCTCTAATTCACTCTTACAGAGAAATTCTGTAAAGAAATCATTGTTTTGGCATCCATGACCATACCACAAAGAACTCCAGGACAACAGTACATGTCATAATAAACTCATATATCAGAAAAGATCTTACGATGTACTAATGGTCACTGAGAGATCATGAAAGGGAAGTTAAAGTGCTAAAAATACAATGACATGTCTTCCTTTCCTCTGCATTTCAAGGACAATTCCTTCTATATTCATGATTTTTTAAAAGATTCCACATAAAAAAATGTCTGTAAGGGAACTTTTAACAAGTACCACTTAACATTTATGTAGTATTTGAGTACAGAACTGTATATTCTGATTAAAATAACTTACACTGCCTTAAAGGAGCACACACGCCTCCCCCAACACTCACACACAAATTACTAAAATGTCTTCAACACAATGTTAGCTGGCATCCTTTCACCAGTGACTGTCCATACATACTTCATAGAACACGAATCAAGAGGTTCAAAGAGGTTTAACCAGAAATACTAAAGAAAGAGATTAATTGCACTTACTTTTAAAAAAAACCCAAAGTTTTGTTTTGGTATTTTCAGATAAAGGTGTTTAATAAGGTCAAGATATTATTAAAAAACTAATCTTCATTTCCATGTGTAAATTTTTGATTGCTGTTTTGTTCAAATCCCTGCATGTGTATCCCAGCTTAGGACACTGCCTCTTTTCCATGTCTATACCATATTCTTGTTACCATACACCAGCTATCCCACTTTATGCCCTTCCTTCCTCCCCCAGATGTAATTTCTCTGAAAAAAATAAGCTTCAACAAGTGCTGATGTAGATGAATGGGAGACACATATCTCTGTGGTAGTAAACTGTACTTAGGAAAGTGTTACTTTAGATGCAGTTTAAAAATATGAAATAAAAAATTAAATGCAAGCTGTAATTCATGATTTTGAGCTTCACATTCTAACAAAGAGCATTTCAAAACACTTACAGCCAGAATAATCTTTGCCAGCTTCAGGCAAAGTGGATCTGAATCAATGTCTACAAGTTTATATAATATCTTCAGAAGCTCACTTCTTCTTTTAAATTGTTTTCCAAGCATATTTCCTTCATTCAATGCTTGATAGAGCTTGGTACAAGCCAGACAAAGATTTTCTATATTGTCTTCTACTTGAAGGGTGAAGGAAGGGAGAGAAAAATAAAAAATAATTATCAGTGCCACCTTATCCAGAGCATCTCAACAGATAAAGACATAGAAGAACAATATAAAGAATGGGTTGCACAACAACAAAAATAAGGCACCAAATAAATCTCTTAAAATGATAATATGATTCTAAGAAAGAGTTTTATTTTGTTTTTTCAAAAAGAGGAGACTCAAGACAAGAAATGACACAGCCAAAATAACACCTAGAGCTAAAACGAAACTCACCTTTAATGCTTAATAATCAGATTGATCAAATGTGCTCCTAAAGTGCTCCTACCAAACATTACATGGGAAAAAGAGATAGTTAAGGAATATTTTTCTCCCCATATACATAACTTTATATATCAAACCTTGCTGGGATTAAGAGTAACTGAACGTAAAAACTTGTTTACTTGTGTGAAAACTAGAATGTATAGCAGAGGTGTAAGATATATTTCAGTAGGATGTTGGCCTAGTGACAAAAAACTCATCTACTTCCTCATCCAAGTCCCCCAAACTCTATTTAAAACATACAAAGATAAAATCTACAGTAAGTTATTACAAAAACCACATCTCAGCACAATGGAATCATGTACATGTTTAATTTAGAGAGAAAAGGAAAAGTCTTGTCTATTTTAATATTCAACAGTGAGATTTTTTTTCTTACATTTGCTTTTGTCTATAAGGTGATACTTACAAAGCACCATGTAAATCCACTTAAGCTGCCTGTATAAACTCTGCATTTACTCAGGATGTACTTCACAGCTAAAATAGAATCACAGAATCATAGAATCATAGAATCAGCCGGGTTGGAAGGGACCTCTGAGATCATCAAGTCCAACCCTTGATCCACTACCACCGTGGTTACTAGACCATGGCACTAAGTGCCACATCCAGTCTCATCTTAAAAACCTCCAGGGTCAGAGAATCCACCATTTCCCTGGGCAGCCCATTCCAATGTCTTATTATTCTCTCTGTAAAGAATTTCTTCCTAATTTCCAACCTAAACCTCCCCTGGCACAGCTTAAGACCATGCCCTCTTGTCTTGCTGAGAGCTGCCTGGGAGAAGAGACCAACCCCCACCTGGCTACAACCTCCTTTCAGGTAGTTGCAGAGACTGATGAGGTCTGTCCTGAGCCTCCTCTTCTCCAGGTTAAACAGTCCCAGCCCCCTCAGCCTCTCCTCACAGGACTTGTGCTCGAGTCCCTTCACCAGCCTCACTGCTCTTCTCTGGACCTGCTCCAGCACCTCAATATCCTTCCTGAACTGAGGGGCCCAGAACTGGACACAGTACTCCAGATGTGGCCTCACCAGCACTGAGTACAGGGGAAGAATCACTTCCCTGGTCCTGTTGACCACACTGTTCCTGATCCAGGCCAGGATGCCACCGGCATTCTTGGCCACCTGGGCACACTGCTGGCTCCTGTTCAGCTTCCTGTCAATCCAAACTCCCAGGTCCCTTTCTGCCTGGCTGCTCTCCAGCCACTCTGTCCCCAGTCTGTAGCGCTGCAGGGGGTTGTTGTTGCCAAAGTGGGGGACCCGGCACTTTGCCTTGTTGAACCTCATCCCGTTGGAATCAGCCCAACTCTCCAGTTTGTCCAAGCCCTCTGCAGAGCCCTCCTGCCTTCCAGCTTTCTGACACTCCCCCCCAACTTTGTGTCATCTGCAAATTTGCTGATGGTGGACTCAATCCCCTCATCTAAATCATCAATAAAGATATTAAACAGAACTGGGCTCAACACTGATCCTTGGGGATCATACTCAAGGAAGTAAAGCACTTGTGATGAAATATGTATTGCCAGGAAATTACAACAAAAAACATGTCTGAGAACCCAAACCTGTCGGCAGATTCAAGGACCCATCTCTCATGCTGAGCAATGCCTGGAAGCTCTCAATTTGCAATAATCACACTTGAGGAACAGCAATGACTATTCCATTTCTACTCCCACCATGACAGAAAATTTAACAAAATTTAGCATTATTCTAAACCTCTGCTCCAGTAAGCTGTGAAACAGAAGTAGCAAGGAACCAAAACTGAATGCTCTTACAACTCCATTTCATCAAAATTAACAACAACAAAAATTATTCATCACTCATCCCATGGGGTATTTTTGAAGCTTATACTCCCGAGCACCAGCATGTAACAAAATAAATTATTTGTTCCTCTAGAAAAAGAGACTTTGGGGCTCTATTAGTTTTTGTCATATAACAATCATCTGAAGCAAAAATCAGAAGATTTTAGACAATAATTAAGTTCCAGATCAGACTTCAGATTTGTTTTTGAATGGAAAGCTTTCAACAAATATTTTTGAGGGAGAAAGGGGAGGAAAAAGGCTTTTCTATTAATATATGAAAAGCTAAACGTGAACTAAATGCACGTGCAGGGAATCAGCTGCAAGGTATGAAGCAAATGACTGCACATGAAATTAAAAAATATTAAATTACTAACAGGCCTACTCAAAACATTAAAATTATGGAATTCTAATATTCACGTTTATAAGAAAAACTGTAACTATGCACCAAACAGCCTAAAGAAAGCAATATATCACGTGGCTGCAGGAGGTAATGATGCAATTCAGTTACAATTTGTGTGAATATTCAAGAAGCAGCAAAACTCAGCTTTTAAGGTTTTTGTACCACTGCATTCAATCAACTGGTGAGAAAGTATCATTAGATAATGTCACCTATTATTAGAAAAACTATGCCCTAATCAAGTTTTCAAAAAGCTAAATAAACCCCAACACACTAAAAAAAAACAAGTAAAGGCTGAGGAAAAGGGGCATGAAAATCGATTTCCCTTAGCTACATTCATGACAAAGGAAAGACATGATTAGATTTTACCTCTAAATTTTATTTTGCTTACCAATACAAATATCACACTATGCAAAACTATAACTCAGTGGCTCATATTTGACAATCCTGGCATTAAGCAACAAAAATGTGGAGTTGCATAGCTGTTTTCAAATTTCCTGATCACTGTTTTTCTACCCATCAGTGACAGATGTGGGAATGAGAATCCTGTCTTTTTAAAATAATTACATATTTTGGGAATCACTTAGTACTGTACTGGTGTCTCATACTCATGAACATCTGCAAAACTATGCAAAAAAAATTCCAATCTGTATCATGTTATAACAAACACTGCAAAAGATCCCATAAAACAGAACCACTTGTAAAAACAAATCTATTTTCTATATTCCCACCATTCAGATAAACATAGTGTCTGCTGAAAACAACTGAACAACCTTTTGAATGAAATGTTAAAATGGATTTCAGAGTTTAATCTTTCAAACCATATTTAATTTACTCAATTTTGCTTCAGTATTCTGGGTCATTACATACTTTTCTGATACATCTAATATTTTAAGCATAAATGGAAATTTTCATTAAGATTTCCTTAGTTTTCTAAAATTAACTGAGACCTTCAATACAGCCTATGGTTAAAGCAGTGAATCTGTGCAGTACTTTATTCTTAAAATTATTACCTCATCACTGACTGCTAAGCTAGCAGAGCTATGTGATCTAAAGTAAGGTAATTTAGTCAGACAAGATCTTCTCTAAACCATTTTTGTTTGTGGTGGGTTTTTTTACAGCATCACAGAATGGATAAGGTTGGCAGGGACCACTGCAGGTCACCTGGTACAATTCCCCTGGCTCAAGCAGGGCCACCTAGAGACAGGTGACCCCTAGACTGCCCAGGTTAGTTTTACACTGTGAAGTCACTGAACATATGAAAGCATAAAAGGCCACATAGTCCAATTACTGTTACTATTTTGTAGTAAACACAAATGAGACCCATGCTTCCTGCAGGAAACAGTACAGAAAGTAAACCCTTTCAAAAACAGTGTTACCCACTTTTTTTCAGTTCACGCAGAATTGGCAGAATCTTTATACGCCAAAAGACTTCTTCCTCTTCCCACTCATTTATTCTTGTTTCATCCTCTAAGCCTTCAAAATACATTCAAAACAAAAAGCATACATTCAGTGATGGTTTCAATTTCCACACAAATAAAAAGCTACAAATACTTTATTCGCCAGTCAGAAAAAAACCCTGCATGTCCCATTTTGCTATATTCTGGGCTATTCTACCTGCTCAAGCTTTTGTTTTTATTTACAATTTCTCAAAAAGAAAAGTTTCAAACAAAACTAGATGGATAAGTATTTTGATACATAAAGCTGTACTATAAAGCTTTTGTTTGTTGACATCAATGTTTCATTTGATTGCTGAATTTGAAGGTAATGACTACTTATATATCAACACGTCCTACTATTTTTCAGCTCTGTGTCCACATGACAGCTTATTCTGTGTTTAAAAAATCCATACTACAGACAATCCTCTAGGACTGTACAATTTTATCAAGTGCATGTGCATGATATTATACTAAAATTGATTCACTGACTCTTTGGTCAGTCACTGAAAACAGTCTTGTTAGTTATTACATCCCGTTAGCCATTCTAACTATTTCATGCAATTATTTTTGAGACCTTTACAATTAAATTTTTGTAAAATGCATGTTTCCCTCCTATTCTTTACTGCATTCAACAATATTTCACACAGCAACCTGGGAATTAATAGCAAATGTTTTGCCTCCAATAAACATGCTAGAAATCTTGAAGGCAACTAACTCCCAGTTTTCTTGGTCACACTCAAACAATTTCCTGTGACTGAGAAAAAGCTGCTGGTTCATTATCAGAAACCTTGTCCACTTTGCAAAGAGAAGTGTTTAAAAATATTTCAGCTTTTTTTATACTTTGTTTCAAAAATAAAATAATTTAAAAAAAAATCTATCACAGACATCAAGTTAAAAATTGGTAGACCAAAAAATCAGTGGACTAGAATTCTGGAAACAGGACTGGGAGAATGGATCTGTGTTCAGATTGGACATGGGAGTTGGTGAAACATGGTTTATTAAAAAGTGGATTCCAGGAGTCACTTTCATACGGATGCAGTATCACAGGGAATTATTCTGACTTGCTGAACATTCTTTTCATGTTCACCTAGCACTATGAAAAAGGACAGAATTCTGGCCTTAACCATTGGCCCATTACAGATGGAGAGCCAGAGTTTCTGTGCAACTTGAGATTTAAAGGATCTAACAGTTGCTTACAAGGTGCATACAGGCATATGTTTGGAGTTCAAGACTGGGTTAAGCTCTTTATCTTGCAGGCAACCAACACTGTTGTTATAAAGATGGGGTCTGGCTTGTGTCGTGTTTGTTTTGCGGGTTTTTTTTTTAAAAGGGAAATAAAAGTCACATAGCACCACTAAATAACATGAAAAAAGCCATTAAGACTAGAATACATACTTTTTTTAAGTGACAGATTTGTCTGAAAGTGTCTCCTGCTGTTCACTACGAGCTCTTGCATTCAAATGACAATGTAAATTCTTAGCATAATCATCACCAAACACAAAAAATACCATACTACATGAGAACACCAATAAGAAGGTTGCATCATGAGAGCAGTATCTCAGACCTTAAAACAATGACTGTCTACTAGGTATTACTTGCAACTGTGAAACAATTAAAAATTTCCTAGTTTAAAAGCTTGCTCTTTAGAAAATAATCCAGATTCTTTTTCTGATCTGTGTTAACTTTAATTGTCTACCTACATTTTTTACATAATGAATCTATCATATACATCTATTTCAACAGATTATACAAAAATGCTGTTTCATAAGTAATACACTGGTAAGTATGTTTGTTATTAGAATAACTATATATTGTTGGGTTTTGCATATATGCACAGCAGTACATCTTATTAGCTAATATTATTGCTACTTATTTTGCAGACCATTTTTATCTACTAGATCAAATGAGTTGATAATCTTATTTAGACTGATAAGTAGCTTAATTAATAAAACACTATGCAGTATTTGCAATAAAATGAAAGTTCTGCTCGGGGAAATGTAATAGCACAGGTGAAATGAGAACAATAGAATAGTTTACACTGTTCCTTCCTGCCACAAAACCCACATACTGACTCAATTATTTCTCTTCTTTCCGATTTGTAGTTACCTCTCTTAAACTGAAAGATGAGACTGATTTTCTAAGTACACACATGCTTAACTTCATTAGGCATTAAGAAACAGAATAGTACAGGCATGCATTTGCAGATAGGACCAAACTTCTCACTTAAAAAAAAATTAACAAAGCCATTTAATTTTTAGTTCCGAACAAAAAGAACGGATTTTTTTGTACCACTCTGCTTCACTTGTCTCATATTCATCAGAAAATGAAAGTCATAACGGTATAATTTTTTAAAACAAATATCTCTTATAACTAGGACAAAAAGAAGATAATCAACTTTTACTAAACAATATTAACCCTAGCAATAAGAATTAACTGAAAATACATTATTATAATAAATCATTAATAAATTGTAAACTTGTATGTGTCTCAGTCCTGGGAGATTTTCTGCCAATGAAAAGTTAGGGTACTAGGTGTATTTAAAATATTGCAGAAGCTGTCCTGAACTTTACAACTGAGTGAATCAAGTTCAACAGGAAAAATACTCAAGCAAAAGAATGCAGCAAGTTGAAGTTGGCTGTCTCAGTTTTTCATAGGTCTTAACTGCTGCTTTGCATTCTGGTTAAAAAAAAAAAAAATCACTAATCAGTCTACATTTATTGGTTGCTGTTTTTAGCATGTAAATACAAGAGCCTTAGCAACACTGAGCTTTCAAAAGCTGTATGCTGCCTGACTTAAAATGTTTAGCCTTTTCACTGAATACTGAGTGGTTATGAGCAGATCAATACTAAAACAGTCCTCTCTAAAATGTAAAAGCATGAACACAAATCATATCAGAATATAGAAATAATCTTTAAATGAACACTCCACCCAGGACCCCATTACAGAGAAGAAATGATGGAGGATTCCTACTGCTATCCTACTGTTTATTCTGGGATAAAAGATGAAGCATGCACAGACTAAGGAAACTACATAATGTTAAGAAAAGTAGATATAAAAAGAAACAATCCTAATAGTACACATGATTTTTTTTTTAATAACACAAATAAAATAGCACAAATAAATTAAAAGGCTTTTAAGAATACTAACTCCCATGACATGGTAAATACTCTCAGTCTTTCTGAAGGAAATGAAAGTAGAGCACATTACAGCCTTGGCCAAAATGATCCAGAATAACACAACTTCTCAGTTCTAGAAAAATAGTAATAAAGAATAATGACACTGCAGTAGAAACTTCAGGTTTCCATACCAGACTCTCAAATACACACTTGCAATGTACCAAACATGCCAGCTATGAGGAAATATTAATTAAAATCTGGTATGTAAAATAAGCAAAACCCATCCCTACGTGGCAATCCAGAATCTGTTTCTTCACATAATATAGCCTGGCATAACTTTATTAGTTTCTGTGCAACTACAACAGATTACAAAAAGTGATGGGCAAACAAGATGTTAACAAATTGGGAAATTCTTAAGCTTACATATGGGAAAAGCAAGAGAGAAAAATCAAAAGACTTTTAGAACAAAGATCTCTTGAATATTGTTTCTCTTTACTAACTTCTGTAAAAATCCCAATATACCTAGACAAACAAAAATACTGTTCAGTGAATAATAAAGAGATCTTCAAATCACAAAAAATAGATCATTGCTATTTGATTTCACATTTTTTGAATGGACATTGAAATGCCTTATGAAGTACCTGTTACTCTTCTCTTCCAGCCTGAACTCCTTGGCCATGATGAATTTGTGCCAGGCTTTTTCATCTGGTCACTAAAAGATACAGTATGGACACACAAAAGTAATATCAGAATGCAATTCTCAAAATGCTTGTTTCTTCACATACATTCAGCATAGAATAACTAATTGGAAAAGATTATGTTATTTTACTAAGTTAGTAAGTTACCCATGCGTTAAAAGTGACATGTAAATACAACTTCCTCCAGTACCAACTACAAAAAGCTCCTTCAGAAATACTGACATATTCACACCACGAGAGGTCACCATTATGGAACACAAAACCTAAAGCATTTCTATTCATACAATAAAACTGAAAGACGAACCAAACTCAATTCAGAAAGAGCCAATTTTTATTTTATCATCAGTTTCACTAACTGAATATAAACTCAACTAGCTTAAAACTGTTACTTCATCCATTCATAAGGACAGTATTATTTTTCTGACAGAATTAACATTTTACAAAGATTTAATGAGAAGACTTTTCAGAGAAACAAACATGTTAGTAACCTTTAAAGAATATACTAGAATTTCCAGGTCTGCCAGTAAATTATTGCTAACTGCATAGTGGTCACTAGTTCTGTTAGTACAAGAAGCAGGAATGTTGCCATTTCTTTGTAAAACAACAGTAAGTAATGCTGTAATTCCTGCTGATTTTATGGTCCATCTTTCTTTGGCCAGAGGAAACTACTACATATATCTGTAATAAGTCTATTTATTCTGTTTACCTATCTGCACAGTCAAGCAGCACTGATCTAAAAGCAATATACAAGATGTAGACTCTCTGCTATTAAACTGGAGTCTTTCCTCCTTTAAATTCTGTACTAAAGACAAAGGTCTTAATCAGTGTTTTCTATTCTCAATGTATCTTTAATTTAACACTTCTTATTCCATTTAAAGTTCATGTACCAATACAACCTAATCTGAATTTCCTTCTAAAGATGACAGTAGTGTGTTAGCAATGTGATTTTGATTTTTTTTAAACAGTTAATTTAGTTACTAAAAGGCTTAAAGCTGAACTGTTGTTTAAGTGGTTTGCTGGATTGGCGCCTAAATCCTGTCTGTCAGTCCAGACAGAAGACGTAAGTCATCCTATCAACAGATGGAGACAGAATAAAAGACAAAGCTCTTGCAAGATCAGTTCCTTACAAAAGGGACTGGAGAGCTCACTGTGATCAGTCAAAAATTTCCCAAGCAATCACATTACAGAGGAACAGTTGCTTCATTATGGCTAACAGTGAATAATGCTTTCTTTTTACAGCATGTGGATTTAAGTGCTCCAAAACCCAAATGCTTACACAAACTATCTTGAAATTATTTCAGCTCATATACAGCAATTTCTACTCCTCTGAGGAAGTAATGCCTTAAAAAATAATAACAATTAAAAAAAAAACAAGTGCTTGCATCTCTACTCTAAAATTGTCTGACACCTCTAAGAAAGAAGAGTTTCACAGCACACAATAAATACAGTTCAATGCCTTGACAGAAACTAAAATTTGATTCCATTTATGTGAATACCTTGTCCTATAAACTTTAGAAGTTTCAGAAATGTTTCTACAAGTTTCAGCCATTCCTGAAACCAAGACTATAACCTGAAAGGTCACTGGATAAGCACGAGAACAAATTCAGCATGATGATACCACATGCTTGTATGAAGATGGATGTTTGACTTTGCTTTCCTCAGAAAAGGAGTTTTGTAACTATATCCCTGCAGATGTAAATCCCCACGATGAATGCAAGAAACCTCAACAAAGACAATCCTATGAGTTTTGTTGGAAGGAAAAGCAGATTAAGAGAGAAAGACACTGAAGCAAAGGATGTGGTAACTTACAAGATAGAAATTCCATATATGTGAGACGTAGAGTAAGGCCATGACAACTGCATGAAAAAAAAGTTTGGTTGGAACCTATTGTTTCTTAAACACCAGTATCAACCAGTTTAGAGACTTAAATGAGTAGGAAAGCAGATTGCTGTACTGCTGGTATTCTATCTAGCTATCTGTGCTTTTGGGAAACATCCTTGTAAATTACTGGCTTATCTTTAGGGAGTATGTACAATTTACCAATTTTGTGAGAGATTATAAAATCGCTTTATATATCTTCACCATTCTGCCAACTTTGTTTCAGTTACAGAAACTTTTGTTTCATTATCTTTACATATCTTAACATTTTTTAAACTGAAACTTAAGTATCTTGTTAAGAACAATGCAGTTAAAATGTAATCAACCTATTCTAAAAAATAGTTACCTACTATTGAAGGGAACTGGCTTCAGAGTGGTTGCCTAGGAAACAAAGTCAATTGGCAGAAATCTGATCATCTGATAAGGGGCTCATCAAGAACTGAACTGACAGAGGCTCTGATGATCTACAGAAGAAAAGGAACTTGGTAACTGGATCATCTCTATCCTTCTCATATAAAAGAAATCATAGTAGCCTCTATGAAGAACGTACACAGAGTGTGAGGACTTCCAAAAGGAAAGTGAGCCAGCACTGCAGTAGTGTGGTGTGGTGACCTTGGACAGGTACCCAACCACAATGCTCTACCACTCTCCTCCTCAGTAGGACCGAGGGAGAAAACAAGATGTAGAAAAACTTGCGGGTCAAGATAAAGGCAGTTTAATAAAGCAAAATGAAAGAAAACTGCAAGATTTATTCTCCCCATCAGCATGGAATGTTCAATCATTTTCAAGGAAGTAGGGCTTGAGTACGTGTAGTGGTTGCTTTGGAGGACAAACCTCATATGCATGGATGCCCACACTCTTCATTTCTCTTAGCTTTTATTGCTGAGCAGACATCACACAATATGGAATATCCTTTTGGTCAGTTTGGGCCAGCTGTCCTGGTTATGTCCCCTCCAAAGGTCTTGCCCACCCCTAGTGGTGGTGCCTACTGGCGACAGGTGAACGCTGGAGAGACAGCACTATGCTGGTAGAGCACTGCTCAGCAGTAGCCAAAATGCTGGTGTGTTATCAACACCTTCTAGCTACCAATGCAAAGCACAGCACTGTGAGGGCTGCTCCGGGGAAAACTGACTCCATCTCAGCCGGCCCCAATACATGTTCAGTACTTTTCCCTGGTGAAAGAATGGATAATTAAATGGAAGCAGCATTTATTCAGATTTTCTGCATGTTTAGACATTTACTTGTTTGTTCCTGCCATGAGCCTCTTGTTAATGGTAAATCTGCAAACTCTCACCTTCAATGGTATTCCAGGGAAAACTACTTTTCTATGAACTACATCCCAGAGGCAAAGAACTGAACTAGTAATCTCCAAAGAAGTTGCACACCATAGCAAGGTTGGAATCACAAATGTGAATGTAAGATTCCAACAGAGGAACAGTGCTTGGGCTCCTTCCTCATACTGAGCCTCAAACATCTGAGAACCTGCCTATCTCTTTACTTGCAAAACAGAGTCTGATGGGCCTGAATTTGGGTGACACTGTTCCTTAGATTTAGACCCTTAGCATCGTCTCTGGTACAGTTTTGGCCCAAGAAAGGTGGTACTTTCCTTGACAAATGGCTGGGCAGAGGGCACAGATAAGCAGAGGTCGCGACAATCCCAGACAGTACCTTGTGTGTGGGAGGGAGGGAATTAAAAATACTTTAATTGTATTAACATAACCCATGACACAGCAGTTGACCACCAAGCCAGAGACTAACTCCTTTGTTTATTTTTATCACTTATTATTAGTATCCCTGGTGCCCCCAATTATTTAGTTACTAGCTAAGAGAGACACATGGCCTAATACTAACAAATTAATGCTTCTCTGCACAGTTGTCTCTACCGAACACCTGTGATCAGTCAGGTAGCAAAGCTTAACTAGAACAAAAAGAGAACATGATAATCTTTCTGAATTGTCCAACTTCAAGGCATTCCCTCTCCACACTACCTGCTCTCCTTATGGTAAGGTTCCTGTAACACCTTACATATCCTTACAGCTTTGGAAGGCAAAGCTAGATAACATGGAAGTGGGAGAAAAACAGAGAAGCACAGTAAGTGAGACAGTGCATATATTAGGGAGAGTTTAGAACATAGTGAAGCTGAAACCATAATACCATTGAAAGCTCAACAAAACTGATATTTGTTACCAAGAGGTGGCCAACAAAACGAACAAACCCGAAAGAGAGGAATGAGGAGAGAAATAAGCCCTCAGTATGACTCCCCCAGTCACTCAGTTGTTGCTTATAAAGTTATCTTACCAACCCCAAATGCCTAGAATTACCCAGAGCAGAAGCTGCATCCTCAGGGAGTCGGCAGGTTCACAGGTAGTGGGCATCCCCGCGAAACAAAGCTAGCAACCCCCCAAAAACAAGCTATCTGCTTTCATACAATTAACTGGGTGACCTCAACCTAGGCAGGCGTGGCCAGCACCACCTGGCTAGAGGCCCTCCATCCCACCCCCCGTTATGCAAGTAATATCTCTTCTGCACATGTGTGGCTTTCCCTGTCCCTGCGTACTGCACCCGGGGGGGGTCTTTTCCAAATGAGACTACGGGTTTACTTCGTCACTATATCTTCAATTTCTCCTTCAAGCGACCCTGAAGGACGATTAGCCAATCATAAAACAGCAATTAAGTTTATACAAGAACTCTCTTCAAGGATGAAGTTCCCATTTTATGAGTGCTTGTTTTCTCATAACTTGGCAGGGAAAGAACAAAACTTTTACAGGTGGCTGGGCCAAACACAGACCAAAAGTACCAGCATAATTAAACCCTGATACAGTGCAATATAGGATGAAGAATATACCGGTTTGTTTTCAGAGAGAAGAGTAGGAATAACAGGGAATGAGCAAAAGACAAGGGCAGCAGGGATGGAAAACGTCGTAAGCCCCAAACTATTTGCTTCTGCAAGTGCCAAGGCCTCACACAACTTTGTTTGTCCAGAGGTTATGAGGCTCTTCTTTTGCACCCATGTAAACTGAATCCATGGACTCTCTCTTGAAGCAGAGACAGGAACCAGGACTATCCCATGTAAACTGGAATCTGAACAGACTCTTAAAAAGGCAGAGAGCTACTAACACAGACTGTGCATCACGCC